CAGACAGACGGACAGACGGAGGGACGGACGGACGGACATGACGAGCACAATAGGGCATTTTTTTCATAAATGAGCTAATGCGCTAAAAAGAAGTTCTAGAAACTAGTGAGATAAGACTAAGCTGTGCTGCTACTCCGGAATGGATATTTCATTTTGTGCTTTTTCCGATAGCAACATCATATGACTAGTTACGTACATACTACGAGTATAAATTCGTAAAAATAAGTAATAAGAATTAAAATGAATATGAAAATTAATATTAACAAATAATAATTCTCTCCAAATAATGTCATTTTAACTAGAAAACATAACGCTAGTTTCAATCTATTTTGAGCAAATCAACTTAAACAATTGACAACCTACAGTCGTAACAACCTACAGCCGTGACAACCTACAGTTGTGACAACCTACAGTTGTGAAAACCTGCAGTTGTGACAACCTACAGTCGTGACAACCTACAGTCGTGACAACCTACAGTCGTGACAACCTACAGCCGTGACAACCTACAGTTGTGACAACCTACAGTCGTGACAACCTACAGTTGTGACAACCTACAGTTGGGACAACCTACAGTTGTGACAACCTAAAGTTGTGACAACCTACAGTCGTGACAACCTACAGCCGTGACAACCTACAGTTGTGACAACCTACAGTCGTGACAACCTACAGTCGTGACAACCTACAGTCGTGAACACCTACAGTCGTGACAACCTACAGTCGTGACAACCTGCAGTTGTGACAACCTACAGTTGTGACAACCTACAGCCGTGACAACCTACAGTCGTGACAACCTACAGTTGTGACAACCTACAGTCGTGACAACCTACAGTTGTCAATGTTTCAACCGGATGTCAACAGGCGCTAATATTAGATCGTATCCTGTTTACGTCTACTAAATGAAAACCTAAATGACGTTGGGAAAATTTTCCAACCTGGCTACTTGTAAATTCCTACGAGTAAGCAGAGCTTACTCTGTACATATAAGACAGGCGCGGCGCTCCAAACTAGCTACCTTAAATGTTTACGTATCTCATGAAGTTTTCAGCGGTCCTAACTGTTCCCATTGTTCTTTGTTTTGCGCCATATTTTCTTTGTCTTCTACCGATGGTCTCGTTTTGTTGAGCACAACCTTTGCCGAATTATTGTTTAATTTTAGGTGCATGCTTTTGTCACCTGCTTTCGAACACTTTGGCAGGCCCGTCAGGCTCTGGGATAACTACCTCTTAAAGAATTAAATGCTTAACGTAAAACTAAATTTGACAAATACCTAACTATTAAACTTTGTTTGACGGGTTCCGCTTAAATCTTTACACTGGACATCAACTTTGCTCTGAATAGCCAAAGGGTTCACTCCGCGTGGTGCGCATTGACTTGGGGAACAGTGACGATCATTAAAATTGTTAACTGTTGCGGTTTGCGATCATCAATGCAGCCGCGTTTAATCTTTCGAAGACAAACAGTATACTACTATAAAACTTCACTTCTAAAACCACTCTACACGTGCATCTATTTTTGATTTAACAAGGTAAGCTTTGATCTGAAACTATTAAAACATTGAAACTCTAAATTATTCCCGACATTGTTCTTGTATTACCGTTGTTTAAACTTGACGTATTTTTTTGTTCAGTATGCCATCCTCTGAACTTCAAGTTTCGGTCGCATAAAGCTAGTCAAGTTCGCTATTTTTTCTGTATTTGGATCACCTCATTGGACTAAACAACTACCTGTACAGCAGAAGTTACTCGATTAAATCAGTTGAACCTCGTTAAATTATCCCAAAAACAACTATCAGTAGAGGGTTTCCTCTGGCGTAGGGAGAAATTACCCTACAATGAACCTGAAATAAAAAAAAATAAAACAAAAAATTTAAAAACCCATCAATGCCTGATAATTTTTTTTATTATTATATTGGATCAATACTTTGACAAAAATCACCGGCGTCTGTTGTTCACTCGTCTTATAGCATATTAGCAAATCACCTCCACAGTACACTCCATAAACTAAATGAATTAAATTGCCCAATTAGAGACACACTTTCTTTTTTACCGCTCGTTGCACTCACGAATGCGCCACTTTTGGAGGCCAAACTTGATATGAGTGACCCGCATGCGAAAAAAGTGAATCTCTGCTTGGACAAAGTATAACAAATTTCTATGAGTACGCCCAGCATTGGCAGCACGAAGCCACCTCTGTCATTCATGTGGCAATTACCAAACGCTCGAATTATCGCCGCACTGCCTGTAGGGAAAGTTGTTGCAATAGTGCAACGCATTGCGAATAGTGGGAATAAATGCAAATAGTGCAAAGCCTTGAAAATAGCACAACGTCTTTTCAATTTTGAAAAAAATATTTTGAAAATTGCAACGCTCTGCCAATAGTGCAGCGCCTTGTCAATAGTGCTACATTTTTCCAATAGCGCAGACCTCGCCCAAGTGCAACGCTTTGCCAATAGAGCAAAACATTGCAAATGGTGCAACACCTTGCAAATAGTGCAATGCCTAGCGCATAGTGCAACACAGGTCCAATATTAGTGCATAAAATGCCGCCTTTAATTTCCTTATTTCATAGTGTTAATGACTTAGGGAGCATTGAAAATGATGAATTAGGACGAACATTCAATTCAATATTTGTCACAGGAAACCGCATTCGTGAGTTTGGTGCTGTTTGTGCAGTATTAAATGATACGTTAAATGGCATCTGCGATATATTTTTTAAATACATAAATTGTAAAGTAAGAAAATGTGCTTAAAAAGTTGTAATGATAATTTTCGAATAGTTTGTGGTTAATAATAAAATGTTGAACTCCTGTCTTCATCTTTTATTAACGCTTCAGAAGCCTCATTGCTACTAATTTTAATATTAAAAGTGCCACGCAGGCACGAATTAGCAAAGGAGAGGGATAGAATCACGTAAAAATCTCGTTCACTTTATTCTGGAAATCATAGGTACAAAACGGGAACAGTTATTAAAAACGCGATTAAAACACACACAGAAAGTTGTGAACTTAGTTCTATGTACACAAGATAGTCTCATGTTGTATACATTCTCCACCGCTACTTGCTTCAGAAAATTCAATAATAACAGCACATATTTTTCCAGGGAACTTATTTATCACATTTCCAAGGGACTGAAGAATTTAGTGCCATAATTCTTTAGGAGTGGCTGAATAATACTTACGGTCGCTATCTACAGAGAGGTTCATCCCTTGAAAATTCAGTTCATCATAAATTAAAAACTTGTCTTTGCATTCTATTGTACTTCATTGTCAAACTTTATTGTTCAATGAGAAAAATGTCACAGTAATTCATCTATGTACAAAATTTAATTTTTTTTATAATGGCCTGAAAAAAATGTCCGCCTTGCTCAAGACCATGCAGCAGACATTATTCTTGCACACGATAATAAATAATTCATGATGTCTAATTATTTTTGAAGATATAATAATTGCTAGACAACGCCCGACAACCTGAATAATGTAGCAGGTTAATTTGCGTCGCAGCAAAAAAATACATTATTTTAGGAACAAGTATTTGCTATGAATTATTTTGGAACTTGAATGGCCTTTACGCCAAATAGTTCTCACAGAAAATTAACCGAAAATGAGCCTCATGAAACCCATGGGTAAATAAGTGATGTACAATTAAAAACCTGCAATGTTTATTTAATTCCAGGTTCTTCGTTCATTAATTCATTCTATCGCAAGAAGATGAAAATCGTGTGCGGGCAATAAACAGCCAACTCTGACATCAATACAAAACACACATTCAGTTAACACACATGTAAATAAATTGAGCCTTCATAGGTAATTCTACGTAACATATTGTCTCTGCCGTTTAAAATATTTTGCCTCCAAATGGTATACGTACAATAACGTCTTTGGGACTTAAGCATTTCTCACAACTATAATATAGCATACAGATGCAGGTTTCCTGAAGTACTGTACTTGGAATATACCTTATTCAAAGATTTCAGACTATTTATAGCATAGTTCTCAGTCTCGACTAAGAGAAGTCTCGCTTATTTCAAATTTAATGTTCTCTTGTTCGGGATAAAAAATAAAATAAAAAAAACGCCATCTGCAGACAATGAAAATCTGCCATTGTACCAATAATCAGTACTGTAGTTCGTTTACTTATTCTACGCTTGGGTTGCGTTTATAACGATTCGTGTATCAATATTTTGAGTTTATTGAAACAATAAATTCGAGAGATTCGACTAGTTTGTGTAGACGATGACACATCATGTAAATGTATCGCCCAAAAAATGAGTCTAAAATTTGTATTCAGTTAGATAACAAATGAAGTTCGATAATGTAAAATACATCGGTAAATTACGAATATCACAGAGCAGAAGGTATTGGAACGCAATCTGTTTTTTTTTCACTTTTAAATATCATAATGGTAGTGTTTGAACTACAGCATGCCCTAATTAGCGCTATTATCGAAATCATCGGGAGAATTTTGCGAATAAACTCATAGTTTATGCAAATTAAATAATTTTCGCCAGCATCATTCGCCGTAGAATAAAAATAGTGAACGCGTCTGAAACCTAATGAAATATTATATAAATATATATTTTTTCTCGATCGAAAATGTAAAAAATTCTGTTTTTTTTATTATCTCGATGGATGAATGAACATGGCAGTTTATACTTTTGAAATAATTCCATCCAATTTCAAAGCATGAATAGATCAAGAAAGTTCATCAATGTCAAATCATCTACTGTCACTTACTTGAGTAATATTGTCGAGTCTATGCCTAAAATAATAAATATGGTGTTGTAATTTCAGGTAATTTATTCTTGAATCTCAGTAAGTGAGAAAATATTTCATTTTCCTCAATGAAGGTTGATAAAAATAATTCCTAGCTAACGTGATATAAATGTTCAGAAATGTAAGATCTACATGATTTTCTAGTTCATTGTAATATTATTCAACATAATTATTTACGAATGGAAGCATGAAATCAAGCTTCATGTTATATAAAATTTCTATTGCAAGTCACCAGCTTTTAACATTGAATGCATTCTGATTGATTTAGATAAATGTTCCCTGCTCATTGACTAAGTCAGTCAATTGAATTTTTCAGATTTTTTTAATAGCCTGACATATTTGCATTCAATCACCCAAAAATACAACGTTTTCTGTTGCATCAATTTTAAACTTCTCTGAATTACACCGCACTCTCTTGCTTATTCATGTCGGCAGGTGAGAACTTCTTATTACGTTCCGATAAATCGGAAGCGCTGGCTCTAAGTTCCCGCCTTATTTTATTGTTCACTTCAGCCACTCGGGGTTTCACCCTCCCCAGAGTTCCATATTGGAGCCCCGATGAGTCTAACTCACCCTCTGATGGGCGGAGAGGTTGTCGAGGGTGAGCAATCATCACGTTCCCGCGATTGGAATGATGGTCCATAGGCTCGCATCGTACGTGTGGCATAAGCTGGCACCCGCGCATGGGGTCAACATGGTACGACAACCCCTGTCTTGGCAGCGTGCATGACATCGATGATGGACAATCGTTTGCAGATCTCATGTCCAGAGGCTTCATATTATTATTGCTACAATTATCTACGTTTTGAAATTGCTGATTTGTCCGTTGCTTAAAACTATCACCGCGCTGGAGCTGCGCCTGAAGAAGATGAGGAAGTGCTTCTGGATTACTCCTTTGATCTGCAAAACTTATTTGCCGCCGAGTCGAAGGCATCCCTTCTTTGCAATTTCGTATCGCGCGTCCGTCGCTGGAGTGAAAAAGAGCAGCCTGCTGCGTGATGCATTGGTCGTCTGGCGTGTATCCCTGATTGTAAGACGCTGGAGGAGGCAATGGCACGTCCAGAATTTGTTCATGAGGCCCAGAATTATGGACTCTGTGGCTGGATTGAGACAAGGAAGCCACCGGGCTACCACAGTCACTGCTAGTTTTGTACAGCGATGCCATGTTTGGGGGCCCCGTGCGAGTTGCAGCTCTGCTCAGCTGCATGTAGTCCATGCAGCTGGCCTACAGAGAACAATAAACTAGGGGTGACTTCAGTGTGAGTAAATTCTTTATGAGTAACATAGAAAATTGTTGGTAAAGTCTTTATAAAACAACTTTTATTTGCCTATCCTAGGCTTTCATTTTAAAGTAGTCATTTAATTATTATTTCTAAGCGACCAAAGATTTGAAAATGGCTGAGTTATTGATATAAAAATAATGAAGAGACTAAATGTAAGAAGAAAATATATATGTTCTGAGGAACATTATGGGGGAGACAGGGATTTGCAGTAATTAATGATGAGGTCAGTTGCAGGGAGCAGGCAACTACTTCCGTATGAAGAAAAATAGTGATGGTTGAATTCTACAATTATTGGGGTTGAAAAGAAGAGGAATTAGTTCATTGTTCAAAGTGTTCACAATGTTGCTTCGACTTTGCCAACAACATTTTCTATAGGTTGGAAAAAATTGCGCAAGAAATTGCAAGAGAAGTAACAATATAAACTTTTTATATTTAATCAATGGTATTAACTGGAGAACACTAGAGAGATTGCACTGTATTCTATGTTTTTTACTTTTCAATGTTTTTTAGATTTAAAAAATGTTACAATCGTATTCTGGAAAAACATAGCAAACAACTTCTCGATAATCATTTTTCAAATAGGTATTCAAAAGTGTTGACATGACTAATGAGTGAGTCTGGATCATGAATGATGGATGAGTTTGTCTGGATGATGGATAATTATGTTTGAATAATGGATAACATTGATTTGAATCACAAAAAAAAATATTTTTTATTAACATTTCGATGTATGATTAAAATTTATAGACAACTCACCGATCCGTGAGCTCCTAAATGACTCATGTGAGAGGCAGGGCTGCCGTTCCCGAGGTAAAATCCTGACGTGGTCGTAGATATCGTGGAAATGTCACCCAGAAGTCGGGTGCGAGAGTCCGTGGGATCTGGTGGACATATGTTCATTTCTTATTAACCATAATCAGATTAAAAAAACTTTTTACAGTTTTTGTCAACCGTAATAAGCGAGTTTCAGAAAATATATTCTCAGAGAGAGATGATTCAATGAGTAAAGGCACCGCAAAAAAGTTGCAAGTTAAAAACGCCGTTAGCGATTCACTGGCAGCTTTCAAGCCAAATTAACCTACCAATTACAGAAGAGATAACGGGCTCTACATATACTTAAAGATATTATATTAGGCCGCTTCGTGTACTTAGACGAATTTCGATAGTAACGTCGAAGATTTATCAGCCACTCACCAGGAGTGTCACAGAGGATATCAGGATTCTTGTCATCAACTGAGCTTGTGTCCAGCGAGTTGCCCAAGCAGACGCCATCCAAGCCGCCGGAGCTGCTCGAGCTCGCAGGTCTCGCCTCGTTCTCTTCTCCTCCGCTTCCGCTTCTGAAACCCCCGGGAAATACGACAACCATTACATATTGAATGGACGATAACGCCGTTAAGAGCACTTTTAATACTTATATGCGATTATCTGATTACTCCCTCTCTTTAATTTTAAAGATATTAAAATAAAAGTAATTACCTTGCAATGTTTCACACACCATATTGCCGATAATCTAATTATAATCGTTATGATATTAGTCATGTCTTTGAAAGTTTAAATAAGTTGACTTTAAATAAGTTTGAATCGAGGGCACTGAAGTCTAATTTGTAGTTTATTATAGTACTGTAATGTACAGATCCAAATATCGCTAGCATGGTGTTGCTGACTATTTCGACGAAATTCTATTATTTCACGTTCGAATATTAGTCAAAACCTACAAACTTATAAAAAGAATTCAGATTCAAATATGAGTATAACTTCAAATGAGTATACGTTTAAATTGTGGGTGGAACAATATACAATAAATAAAAATTTTAGTGCAATTCAAAATGTCATTCCATTCATCGGCTGATATCTGAAATTTCAAAATGTCGTTCCACCCATCGGCTGGTATCATCGTCACCTGCGATGAGGGGTAATTATACGTTCTAATATTAGTCAAGACTTATAAAAAGAGTTCAGATCCAAATATGAGTACAACTTCAATTGAGCCACGTTTAAATTTTGGGTGGAACATCATACAATAGATATAATTTTCATGCAATTCAAAATATCATTCCACCCATCGGCTGGTATCATCGTCACCTGCGATGCTGGACAGCCTTTGCCTGGACTGAAGAGCGTCGGCAGGCTCGCACCCACACGACGACCACGACAGCGACGATGAGCGGCACGATAGCCACGCCAGTGCCGATGAGCACGGCGATAGGCAGCTGCGATACGCGGTCCCGGTCCCGTGTTGGCTCTGAGGGGACAAGTAATTCTCGAATGAATCAAATTGGATGTATAAACGGAAGACGAGGGGTTTGAATTTAGTGCATCAACAAAGAAAAAAGCTCAATAATATAAATACATTCCGCATATATACAAGAAAATCTTCAACATTTATAACTTAAAACATACAAAGAGCAAAGAAGAATATTAAAAAAGACGGATAAGATTCAATATAATAAATCTAAATTTAAACAAATCTAAAAGGGAGAAAACAGTACCAAATCTTCGTGTTGTGTATCCCAAATAAACAGTATAGATAACAACAGGTGTTCACTCACCCGCGCTTGTTTCCTCTTGCGTCTCAGGCAAACGGTCCGTATAAGCCTTGAGCTCAACTGCTCTGGAAGCTCCTTTCTCGTTTATTGCGGCAACTACCACTTTGTAGGCGGTGGCTGGTCGCAGGTTGGTCACGCTGAACGATGGAGATGGTCGGGGCACTTCGAGCACTGGAGAGGTCGAGCCAATTTGGAAAACCTGTCCGCGTGATCAGCAACACAAACACAGTGTCAGAAAATTCTTCACCACAAAATTGATGCGCGAGAACACGCATCCATTGGAGAGAAAATTAGAAAATGACAGCAGTATGGCTCCGATGCAGGAGGTCATGTTCAGGAAGAGAATTAAATTGCCTCCGGACAAGCAGTTTCAAGAAATTATGGTAATGAAAATGAAGAAAATATCTCAATTATTTATAATAATAGTGATGGCCATGAATGCCTTGGTTCAATTATTATTCTATTTCTATGGTAATTAAAACGGATAAAATTGCCTTCATTATTTTCTTTCTTCAATGGTAAATAATCATTTTTAGAAATGAGGCGGAAGAAAATCACAAGTATGGCCTTTCATAACTCCTATAAAGGAATTTCGATGAAATAAAGTCTAGATGAGTAGCAAAGTTTAATTATTAACAATACTTTGAAATTAGATCAGGTTCAAAATTAGCCATAGCCTTGTGGAGAACAGTTTTTTGGAAATAAGACGCTTCCGATTGAGAATATACTCATTTGTTAGATATTATTTACAAATAAGAAATAATAACAGCGTACACGGTGAAATATTTAGAACTCATTAAAATATTGTTTACTTTAATCATCTAAATCACTTGGAATAACAAAATGAAATATTAAAAAGTATTTATGTTCAATCAAACACACTGGCGTAATTTTGCATGTTTCATCATAGTTTTCATGTTTCGTCGTAGTTTCCACGTTTCAACATAACAATAACTGATGTTAGGCGTAATTTTGCATGTTTCATCGTAGTTTTCATGTTTCATCGTAGTTTTCACGTTTCATCACAAAAATAACTGATGTTTTGTGTCACCTGGAGCAAGAAGCTCTGCTCCATGCCACCATCATCACCGGCATGACAGGCCACTTGCAGGGAGCTGATGGTCACGTCCACCACTTGGCAGTTGTGAGGAGGGTCAGGCTTGCCTTCAGCGTCCACACAAACACAAGAAATTTCTTTCTCAAAACCACATTAGGAAATAAGCCTAAATATTTGTGGATTGAAGTAATATGACTTAAAATGAATATATTAATTTAGAGAGATTTATTTTCTACGCTGCTACACTGACGATGTAAAATTTATATCAGTAATGTATGCAAATGTCCTAACAAAAATCAAGGTACGATAGAGACTCTGCCACAGCCTCGCTATAGTTGAGGCTAGTATATTTCGAAACCTAAGGGGGTTCGAAAACGTACACACAATAAGAAAATGGGAAAAACACGCTTTTTTAATATTTAATAAAAGGTATTTGAATAATTAAAACCCTGCAATGGGATTGGTGATCCGTGTTTTATGTGACAATAAATAAATTATTGATATGACCCGTTTTCAATAATTTGATAACAACATTGACTTTTGGTGTGCAATTTACTGTGCCATTTATGAACATGTATCGCTTGCATCGTAAAAACAACATTGGAAAAGAATTCAAAGAGCAAATAAACTTCTATAAAACCTTTCACAACTTTTCGAATCTAAACGTGAAAGACATCGCATATCCAGTACCGTTTGTTATTGAGTTTGCCAAGCCGTAAGTTTCTTCCACAGAAATTATTTCCCAATGAAGAAAACTTACCAGCAGCCACGATTTGGAAGACGCAAGGGCTCTCCTGAGTGCCTATGGAATTGTTGGCCCAGCACAGAAGAGTTCCGTAGTCGAGTTCCGTCATGGGAGTGTAGTTAACTCGGGACTCCGTGCCTGATACTCCGAACCTTTGACGAGGAAAACGTAATACCATTATAAGTATTACCATTATAAAAGTATTAAATTATTATCACCAGCACGATTAAGAAGTTAAGAGGAGAAATAACTTGAACTCTACAGTATCAATCAGAGAAATCGCGAATTTTTGTGCAGAGAGCGGCGCTATCGGGTCACCCTGAGACAAAGTCATCCTGATACAATCGATCATCCAGGCACAGTTTGGCCCGGCAAAAGAGCGTATCAGCGCAATGTGCAGAAGTGTGTCAGTACCTGGACAACATGACCCATTACTTTTTCTGAGTGATATACAGGGATAAAATTCCTGACAAAATATTATTTTTAGATTTGCAGGAAAAAGCATCATCTTACTTAGAACAATGAGGAAGAAAGTAACATGATACTATCATCCGGAAGTCTACCGTATGAGAATTGAGAAGAAATATCTTAATCAATTGAAGCATCCACTGAATCATACAAAGAGACGGTCAACGAAATGAAGAGTTCCGTATCGGAACGAAATGATCATTTTAATTCATTCAAAGCAAACTTGTCTTTTATTGTTGGTTTTCAATTGACACGTAAGTCATATTGGAGAAGAATGGATCAGACAAATGGGTAATATATACAGAATGATATGAATAAGGTACAGATGTGCTGGAATTTTTGGAAATTTTGAATCGATATAATTGTATGCCTAGAAAAGAGTAATGAAGGAACATAGCGACAATTGCGACATCATCTCACGTATTTTGAGCAAAAACAAATGATAAAGGTGTAGATTGAACTCATTTGTCATGGAACATTTGGTCACAGAATTTAGTTTCAACATGAAATCCGAAAATATTTAGAGGTAATATTATTCATAAATTTTTCGGCTTTCTCGAGATCACAAAAGTTTGCCTCAGCGATCATAACCACTGTTGTTAAATTCGGAAGCACTTTTGGTATGATGGAGAAAGAATAATATATCAAAAAAGCGAGCCTTGAATTGGTCTAGAAAATGTCGCGTTTCACGAGGAATGAAGTAATTTCAGTTGTTGTTTTTTCTGGAAAATAATATTTTGGATTAGAATAGTTTTTATTGTTTGCCTGCCTTCTTGGAATAAGAAAATTATTTCAAGTTAGCATGTAGCTCACCTCCCTCTAGGCACGTCAATTGCCTCTGCAGTGTTATTGAAGGTCCATCTGAAGCTGACGTTGGGAGGATTAGCGTGAACTTGGCAGCTGATTTCGGCATTTTCGAGCTTGCCAACCGAGTGCTGACGACCTTGTTCCGTTGCGCATACGGGAGCGTCTGTTGTGAGAGAAAAGAGACCACATTTTATTAGTAATTTAAATGTTCAAAATACTGGGACAATTAACCAGAATTTGAGAAAATTTTGAAGCAATATTCAAAATATCGATCAAATTAACTATGATTTGTTGATATCTTTTGACCTAAAAAATAAGGCATACAAATTTCTCATGCAGATCAAGGTCATTTAAAACATTATTTTTAGTAATATACTGAAGGAGTATTTCGTACGTTGTGATAAAGATATAAAATATGGCGAACAGTAACAAGCTTATGAGGGAAAGTGTCGAAGAAGAAATTGTTTAGCGTCGGAACATGACGATCGAAAATAATGAATAAGTGTGACGCAGATAGGAGTCATAGGACAAGCTTTAACTGAATCACGAGCTAAAGCTGGACATTTACCGCAATAAAATTACTCTCGATCTATCTACTATAAGGCTGATTGGATAATTTAATAAATTTGTATGTGACCCATTTTCTTTTTCCACCTTTTACATGCTGCCAAAAGATAAATAATGGTCCTCTCATAATAACCCCCGTTGCTCGTAAAAATTTTTAATATACTCGTTGAAGATTATCATAAAATTATTATAAAGAATTATATTTTACATGATCGTGGTTTACCATCTAGTCATATTTCTTAGAATATAGCCCATATTTTTATTTAAGTCAGAATTAAATCGCCGCCTTTTTCCGCGGGAACGCCCACCGCATTTATTGGAAATTGTATAGCTGGGCTTGGAATTAGCATACGGCGAATAGAAAAGGCGAATTTGCATTCTGTACGATTTTCAGCGTGGGCCCCAACAGGCGAGGAACATATGACTCTTCTTTTCAGTTTGAATTTGAAGTTTGCCAATATTTGACTTAGGAAATATGCCTCATCAAACACGGAGTTTAGGGAATTTCCTGACCGTCAGGGCTTCAATATTGCATAATAATATTGAATATTGATATAATAGACTTTTAATTTTCTTATGTTATGTCAGCTAGGCAGAATTTCAGTTCAGAATTTGATAACTGAAAAAGATCAAAGTCCATCTCCTTTAAATTTTTACGCCTTGAATTTTTTATGTGTTGAATTCAATTGTAAAATCCGCGAAGAAAGTTTTCTCCTGATATATTTTAAAACGGAAAATTTCTTTCTTATGGCACCTAAGTTGCACTATTACTTTATATTAACCAAACGAAAGTTAAATTTTAAAATTTCCTTCTACACGCGTATTCCTTTATTTCCTCCAAAATAACCTAAGATTGAATTTACTCATTAAAATATTTTCTCCGTCGAATTTTTTTTACAAATTATATCCAGGCGTGAGTATTATTCCCTTTAGGCATTCAGGGATAAAAATTGTCCACAACATAATCAGGTATGAACGTTTGGCCGACATATATTTGACAAAAATTGCAACAATTCAGGCAGAAGCTAGACTCCGAAGCATGTTCAAAGCTGAACATCATCTCACACATTGACTCGGAGCCAACGCTAATTTCATTCACACATTCACTACAAAATATTGCAGTCTAAATGCACTCCTAGCTGAACGTTATCTCCTGAATTTACCGAAACCAATAGAGTGTGTCAATAAGGCACCTCCGATAAAAAAATTTTTCGCCTAAATAGATCGCAAAAATCAGAGTGTATACTGAAAGTTAGACCATAACCACCTAATATATCTTGGGTGAAGGCGTAACCGTTCGGTCCACTTTATGGGCTCATAGTTACTACCTGAATAAACCACGGGTGAAGCGTTACTTTCTAGTACGTACAATATATGAGCTAAATATATTATTACCTAAACAGGCCATGGTATTAGTTCTTGGAGGGCTTCTGGACCGCGGTTAGCACCACCAGATATATTATCTGCTTCCTTTTCTTGCTGACACGGCAGCTGCTCCGTGACAGCCGCAGAAAATATCGTGCCAGAAAACCAGCAGAGCAGAACTTTCCAGGAGGAAAATATTTAATATAGTGGCCAGGTCGGGACGGAAATAAGCAGCAGGGATTCATAATGTGTCTTGAGGAGGTCTGAGGTGTGTGGTGCTGAGGAACAGCCTACGCTGTGCACCGCTGTGATAAATTAATATCGGCGATGTTAAATGTTTCAGAAATATTTGAACGCAAAATAAGGCTTTTATTCGCAGTAAATGAATTGCAATGATACGATTCGCATTTTTAGTACTGTTACATAGAAATTTTGAGTTCTGTGTGTACGTCAAACTTGAAATATCTATTGTTTATATTAAGGTGATCTTAATAGTGAATATATTGCGTCGCGTGTGCTTACAGAATACCGTTGTTGTTACCTCCTCCTCAATCTGCCGATAAATAAATTTTACTTCCTATAAGAACTTAGATGCTTCCTATATTGAAAATTACTTTGCATAAGTTTATAATGCTTGAATTTCCATACAAGTCGGTGCGACTTGTATGGAAATTCAAGCATCATAAACTCCTGCAAAATAATTTTCAACCTTATCTGATGAAGATTTGGTCCACTTCAGGTGTTAGCAAACTTTTTTCGTTAGGCCCGAATAGGATATTTTTGTTAACATTGACCTCTCCATGCATACACAAAAATAGTGCTAAAAAATAAAATTAATAATGACCATATATAATTATAATTGCCAAATATAAGGAGACGTTTTGAAAACGAATCGAAAATTGTTTTGCGCCCTGTACCAATTTTTGAAAATGAACATATATATTAATAGAAAGCGGTTGCCTTCACTGTGAAAAAGGAAACAGAAATGAGACTGCATTCTTTTGTATTTGCGTCAGCGATTTATTCCGACTCCCATTAATGTATCGGCAAATTGAGTTCTAGCTTCAAACTCAACAACCGCTATCGACCACTTTGCTGGCCGATGATGTTAATCAAGAGATTTTGAGCCTTACGAAAAAAATTCACAAAGTCATCATCATCGATGCGCGTAGCTCAAAAAATACGATAAAGTAATTCCTTCCCAGAGATTTCCAAAGTTTGATGCATGAAAATTTTGGCAAGTTTAGGATCTCTGGGCACATTTTTCTCCACAGATATCAATTGTTGTCCCGTTCGAATATATGTTATATGTAATATATGGCATACATATATATGGGTACATATCCCGTTCGAATATATATGAATATTTGTATCTATTTCCATTCGAAATATGAAACGAAATTTGATCTAGTCCATCAGGCTTAAAACCACATTATTATTATCTTTTTTATTATTAATAATATTATTATGATTATTATTATAACCAACATTATTATTACTATTATTATAATTATTATAATTAATATCCTCATTATGATTATTATTATAACTAACATTATTATTACTATTATTATAATTATTATAATTAATATTCTCATTATGATTATTATTATAGTTAACATTATTATTACTATTATTTATGTTGATATTGTGTGCCACTCACACTTGACGTCGAGATACAGGGGCGGAGAGCCTCCTGTGCCGAGGGCGTTGAGCGCGTGGCAGGAATAAGCGCCTCCGCTCCTACGCGTGACTCCCTGCACCACCAGCGACATGTTGCTAGCGAACACTCCTTGTCCGTCTGCCAGCTCTCGGCCCTATGGATTATTTGAAGAACCTATGTGATTTTATTTGAAAATTGAATTAATAATAATAAAAAATATAATCTTACATAAATAGCAACATGTTGCTAGCGAACACACCTTGTCCATCTGCCAGTTCTCGGCCCTATGGATTATTGGAAGAACCTATGTGATGTTATTTGAAAATTTACTTAACAATAATAAAAATGTAATCTTACATAAATAGCAACATGTTGCTTGCAGCATTTCAAGACCCCTGCTACAGTCCATAAGAAGTGATTACAAAAGTCACGATATGATGTTATTTGAATAAACAACGACAAATATTCGAAGGCATGGCGCATAAACTTGAAAAGACTTATAAGTAAAGATAATATTTAGCGTAAGAATATCTTTCATAGATAGTGGTAGCCCAGGCTCGTTTCCTTTGATAAAGCAACTGCAGAATAATTAACTTGTCAATAAAATCAACATCTTTATCTGCATGGTGACTTGAAGGGAATATCCTATGAAGAGGCAAATTTTTTAATGAAGGTAACTAAGCCTCACTTCAAATAACTCTCAATTAACATATTGAGAAAAAATAACAGGCTTAATTAAGTGTAAAGCTTCCCTTCTACAGATCTAATCTGTTTTTTTTTTAATGATCGTGGTAAAGGGTCATAATTATAAAGATGTTGATGTCATAAGAATGGTTCGTTAACTTGTTGTAGCGGGAAAACATTTTTCCTTTCTTGAACCTTTGCCTCTGTGGCGTTACGCTTCATGCAGCTGCCGTGTACATAACAAACAGTATTATAATTGATTCGAATTTAATATTTTATAAGAAATCCTTACTTTCCGTTAGTTGTTTATAACCTAGTGTTTTAATGCATATAAATGCAGTCTTTGTTGTCCACGGAGCTCATCAGCTTATACGCATGGGTATTCACTAAGAATCTTTTTGATATTTCTTAATCATGAGTTTTTGTTTTCGTGTAGTCGAATGGGAATAATTAATGCCATTTTCATTGCTTCGCTTCACATTGAAATTGTCCGACAATAGCTTATCACTAAAACCATCAGAAATTATTCGAATTCAATGCCATATCCAATGCTTTGTTTTACACAGAAATTCAGTCCTAATATCGTCTAATGAAATCAATCAGAAATTACTGGAATTTAAATGTCATTCAATTCCATGAATGTCAATGTTTCGCCCCGAATTTCACTAATAAGTAATTATTTCACTAAAAAATACGTTACGTATGTTGTACCTTCATACGACGCTCATTATGGAAATACCATCAGAAATTGCTTGGATTCAATGCAATTTTTAATACTTTATTTCACCCCGAAACTCACTATAGTTTAATAATTTCACAATATGATACGTTACGTACGTTATGCTTCGAGATAACGCTCATGCTAGAAATACCATCAGAAATTACTTGAATTCATTGCAATTTCCACTACGTTATTTCACCCCGAAATTCCCTATAGATTAATAATTTCACAATATGATTCGTTACGTACATAATGCCTCCACACGACGCTCAAGATGGAATTACCATCAGAAATTACTGTGCAATTCTAATACGTTATTTCGCCCTTAAATTCACTATAGTTTAATAATTTCTCAATATAATACATTACGTACATTATGCCTCCACACGACGCTCAGGATGGGTGGCTTGGCCTGTACTGAGCACTCGAAGTAAACGTCGTCGCCTTCCTTGATGCGCGTCGCGTCAAGCGACCTGCCCAGACGCACGCTAACCTGCGGCACATCTGCGGGCAAAACAAGTTAACGATTATGCATAGAGTAATTTATTCTGCTGTATTGAGTATTCATCCATCTGCGTTTAGTAATATGTGTTTAATATAGATAATTTGAGCGCACAGCCGGATAGTTATTGGCTATCGTGAATATTTTCTTAGTGTTCACTCAATGCTTGTTATTTAATTATTTAAACTATAACTTATTTTAATATTCATAACGCTGATGAAATAATGGTTAGTTATTTTATGGATTTTTTACGAGATTTCATTTGAATCACGGGACCTAAAGACTTGTATACGTGAAGAAACAATTACCGTTCGCAAAATGAAGAGCGAATCAGCCATAAACTTGTTTGATTTTAAGTTGAAAAAAATATATGAAGTTTTTCCCTCTTCTGTAGTTATCTAAGAATCGATTGTTTTTGAATACTGATATTAATTCGATGCATTCACGGGATTTGAAACTTTGTTCTTCTCGAAAAAATAAGGCGAAATAAGAATGCTAAGTACCGCTTGAAATCAACATTATTTTTCGAAGCTAAAACTTATTCTCTCCTTTTTGCCGTAAATCTGACCTAAACCTAATCAGCTAATATATTTAATATATGAAATAATAGATTATCTTAGAGACCTCAAGCAATGCAGGGATTTTTTTTTGTTGGTTATGCAAATCTTAAATTAGCTTATGCTTCTTGATACATTATGTTATGCATTTATTTTACTAAACTATTAAATTTGCTTGCCTAGTTCTAACATATTCGCTTACCCAATTAATTTCCTGAATTATTCTCAAAAAATATAATGCAAAAATTAAGTTATATTGCAATGTCTTCTGGTTGTCTGCATTGCAAAAATTTGTTAATGAAAGGCACCGAAGTCTCTTGCATGGTTGCTCGTTAAAAATTTCGATCAATCCTCCATTTAATTGTTCATTACCGAGCTTAGTCGTCATAAGCGTAGCCTGAACATCCAGGAATAGATATATGAACAGAATTTCAAAAGTTTATTAGTGACAAATATATTATATTTGCCCGGCATTCACTATCTGTTCAAAGTATTTTGCTCAATTCTACCTCCAGGCGTTTTTAATACTTAATTTTTTAGAAAATTTTATTTAGGTACTGATTTCAATCATGCACTTAGAATAAAAGTAAATTAAATGACACTTGCTGGACAATTTAACAAAGAAAAATTGTAGTGAAATTTCCCCTCCCCTCCCTTCCTCCTCGAAAAGCCTTGAGAACAATAAAAGGTAGATTTCTTGGAACACAAATTCATCCTGCTGATGCTGACCACTAATCTTTTTACTTTACTAAGTTGATTGTTGAAAATTGTTCCCGGAACAAATTCTGCCCGGATTGCTGTGATATTTCTATTAAAAACTATCATAAACAATTTTTAGTCATTAAACTTCATATTACGGCAAAGAAACCTTACACGAAGATTGCATTATTTAGATATTGCAGAGCCATTTTTTAGTTTCATTCACTTCCTATTCAATTATTTATATTTTTTACATCGTGTAAATAGTTTTCATCCGTCTTTAAAATAGAGAGCATATCACTTTACTCTCTCGGTGATGCGCGCGAAAATGGACCAGGGAGTAGAGGTTTAAATGAATATTTTGATTCTATTAGGATAATTCTCAAATTTTTAATACATAGAAATATTGTAGGATATATGTGGATGTTTCCCTTGGCAAGATAAATAAACTCCATCGACTTAATACCATAGATACGATTAACAAGCTTAATATTATTCATAAACGAAAATAAAAATTCACAATCAACGAAAAAAAATATTATTAGGATTTTATCAGATAACACAGAATTTGGTGCTTCTATTTTTTTCAGAAAGGCCATCCTGAGTAACGTGGAAGCAACCAATAATCGGTTATAAAAATTTGCTTTTATAACAGAACGCAATTTTTTCAGCAGAACTCCAGAGAAATTTTCTTACTCGGTGTGGCATATAAGCTCTACCACACAGAACAATGATAAACTCTACCACATAAACTCAGTGGTAGAAAAGCTTCGCTGCCTCCAATCATAGAGAAGACAATAATAAATAGCAGAAGGGGTAAGATTCACATAAATGAATATTTCATTCCCTAGAAATAAATTTCATACAAATTTTAACAATTAAAGGGGCTCAGAAGTAAAAAAAACGTGTTCTTTCCTTCGCGGAACTTCTGAGCATTCCAACTGACAGGATTCTCGTCCGCTAAGACAGACATCGGACCGAGATCGGAAAACTCAGGATTGCCTCAGATTACTCGGATCCACCTCTGAATGTTCGGACATGAAGATTCTGTAATCACTACATATCTTCATACGAAAACCGTGTCTCCGTAATGCACACAGTTCATATCCTCTTGAGATAGTGAACCACTGGACTTTTATTTTCTAGTGTTAACTTTCTAATGCTCAGCGAGTGTATGTTTTAGGTTTTTTTTTAAATTTTAGGTTTCAATGTCTGACTTTGGAGTTTGAATTATAATGATTGTTTTCATTTTTCTAGATTTTCGAACTTACGATGAAGCTGGGCTCATAAACGTTTTAAATATCGATATGGTGAATTTTCTTGGCGTTCTCTTTGCTTTTAAATTCCTTGCTTCAGAAGACATTTATGGATTGCCTCAAAATGACATTTTTCAATCGCCACACAAGACATTCATGATTGGCTCGAAAAACTTATTAGGATTGCATTAGAAAGTCCTTTTAGGATTGCCGCGAAAGACTTTTCAGGATTAGTTCGAAAAATTAATTAGGATTGCCTCAGAAAGAAATTTTAGGATTGATTCATAAGGCAAATTAGGATTGCGCCTAAAGACCCGAAAGTCTTTACCGTCGCCCATATTGTGTTCTTGCCCCAAAAGAAAGATTTGGAATGCCTCAAAATACATCAGAATTACCTAAGAAAACAATAAGCTTGCCTAAAAAAATGCGGAAGGATTGTCTCAAGAAAGACACATTGGAATTGCCTTAAAAGACTTTTGGCCTTGCCTTATCAATGATTGATTTAATGGCCTTGCCTTTTTTGATTTATTTATTAGTGATTTATTTATTGGCCTTTTCTCAAAAGACTTATTGGGATATCCTCAAAAAGACATTTCATGACTGTCACAGAAGAAATTTTAGGATTGCCTCAAAAGACTTATAAGGATTGACTAAAAAAACTTAAAAGCGTTGCCTCAAAAGAAATTTTAAGATTGTCACAAAGACATAAGAATTGCCTTTAGATTGCCGCAAAAAAATATTTTATGACTTCTTCGAAAGACATTTCAGGATTCACTAACAAAACATTTAGGAATTTTTTCAAAGGACTTATTGGATTGTATCAAAAGTTTCTGCCTGGAAGAGCAAATAAAAAAATGAAGAACAAGGCAGGAGAACAATAAATAATAAATAAAAACTTTGCGGTTGAAAAATCACGACTCAAAAGCTCCCAGAAAAAAACTTTTAATGATTTTAAAGGTGCATCATTCCAAATATGATTCAAATAAATTATACAATAATCTTTCCTTTGCTCGCGCCTGAATATTAATAATAAAACTTTTGATGATGTTCATCGAAAATTTTTGATGATTATATGTTTGATCTAATCAACATAGAGCGTTGAAAATGCCGTGTTTGATCATTTTGAATGTTGATAAATTAGATTTAATTTAAATAAAATGCTGAAAATGCCTTGCTTGAGCATTTTCAACGACAATAAGTCTGGTTTATGTAAAATAACGTGTTTAATAATTGATATTTGTTCAAATTAAACTAACGAGCAACTCACAGTTGACAGAGAGCAGTTTGGAGTCTTGTAGAGGCTGCTGCCCGAGCGCAGAGTTCTCCGCCTGACACACCAACATCGCTCCGTCGTCCTCTGGCCGAGGCGTGAACTGCAGCGTCGCGACAGTCAGGTTACCGCCCTCTGTCACCTGGCATAATTTAATAATAAGGAACTATATTAGGTAATAATATAATGAATATTTTTTGAATGACATTAATTGATGAAATATATATATAAAATAATAATAATACTAATAATAATGATAATTATAATAAGGTTACTGATATAAGTAGTAATTATATTGATGATCGTAAATCATCATTGTGCTTCATGAAAAAATAAGCTTCAAATAGTAAATTTGAATATTTGATCGATGGCATTTTATGTTAAAATGGCTTTTTCACTTTTAATGTCATGTTTAAGGCACTAAAAAGTTAACAAATGGTTGTTTAATAACTGCTTCACTGGTGACGATTGCAAAACTGCAACTCCTGTTTATAATATCTTTCGATGAAGCTTATGGCTTATGACGATTGAAATATCGATGTGCTTTCCTACAATTAATGTTCAGGTGTACATTGAGGCTGTATACTATCGTCCGGAAACAATGGGTTATTCTATCCCTAAACACACGTATCGAATTCCTCAAAATCAATAAGTCTTTATGGTGTATCAACGGCAGTAATGTCACGTCATTACAACCAAGTTCCGATAACAGTGGATGTTCAGCCACCTATTATAATATGAAAGGCTTTAACAGCAGACGCTGTCACGGTTTGTTGTTCTCTGCCGTGTATTATTCAGCGAGTTACGTCGCTATTATACGCGTGTGGCTGGAACACAATAGTCTAGAACTCTAGATGGACAGCTGTGCATTATATATAATCGCCTGCATAGATTCCTCAGCATTCTTATTCAGCATTGTAAATATACATGAATTGTCTGCATCTCACGTCATTGTATTGTGCTCGTTGTTAGGAGAAAATATTTTACATGAGCTCTTTATGATCCAGGCGACGGCGATTGAGTCAACGAAAAAGCCAGGATCAATTATGCATTTGTTCATTGTATATTTTTATATTAAAAATAATATACATGGAATTTTTAGCAGTATGAATTACTGATGAACCATAATGTAACTTTAAAATAGTTTTACGGTACTTTCACTGATCACGAGCAGAAAAAGAAGGTGATATTCTGATATTTGAGAATATGATAATTTTGAATTTGTTATTTGTTTGAATTTGAATAGAATTTAGAAATGATATATGCCAATAAATACTAATAGTGAATATTTTTTGTGTAACTCACATAGGATGATTTCATATTATGCAGTATTCTGTTTAAAAGCCTGCTTACTTGTAGGGTGCTAAAAGAAAGTATAGCGATTAACCATAATTTCAGACCAGTTGCTATAATAATTCCAGTCATTTATAGAAATGTGTTCAGTCTATTCGGGATTTTTTTTATAATCTGAGTGTTAGTTGAATCGCGTTTACAGGAAAGAATTACCGATACATTGTTGCGGGATTAAGCTAGTTTAGCAGAGAGTCTAACGAACAAAAAATGCGTTGAAGTATGCAATCGTTATACTCTTCCATAAAATCAGATCGCATTTCACGAAAGCTCTCTAGAATTCAAGAAAAATACATTATCCAACTATTTTTGAATTATTAATTTTCCTAAACAAATATCTTCAAGAGGAAGATTAATGAAATCGACATGCAGATTATAATACAATTATAAGACTGGATTACCATCAGCAAACGGTCGGTAACGTCGTGCGATTTATATTTATTTTTATAAATGCATTTTATAGACGAATGAAGTGATTGCATTTTATACTGCCAAAGCCCTGACATGATCTCTCCGTTTCTGATCGCGAGGGGAGAAAGGCCTGGCAAAACTAATCTATTTCTCTTGTAAATGTCATCCAAAAGCTCAATGTTTTCCATATTTTATCAACTTATATTACTAGTGTGCGATATTTCTTCTTCTTTATTGAAAGCTGCCTATTGCCCAAAACATTTAGTAATTATTTTCCATGTGCTTTTCCATATTTTTCATCAAGCACTTTAAAATATTCAATTATGTTCCATGATGAAATGAAGAGGACTTGAATAGGTAATTTACTTCAAGAGCAGAAATTGGACGGAAGACGAAACTTTAATAATTATTATTGCATGACGAACTTTCATGATGATATCGACCAGATTAAATTTTCATAAAAGAAAGATGGTAGTTTGGCACTTTGACGTAGAACTGATGCAGATGTTCACCATTGTACCAGCGAACACTTTTTTATGGATTCTGAATAGGCACACGTTTTTGATAAATTTGTGTACAAAGTTAATAAATATTAATTATTTTCGAGACACTTTAAGTTTAAGCGCATGAATTTCTTCAATTACGTGTAGATCAACAAAGTCGAAAGACTGGACCGCACAATTTGAATCGAATTTCCCCTGCTTTGACTTAATTGTGTTAATTCATAAAATTCAATTGTCAGTTCCAACTGGAGAATCAATTAAGAACTTTTGATCACGTGGAAACTGAGGCCTTCGTTGCTAACTTTTTAGCAGTAGGCCTCTAAATTTAAGTAAATTTGTTATGCGAATTTGGATAGAATCGATTAAATTGAATAGTTGAAGTATGTTGTATGTTTAAGGTACGTGTATGTTAAATAATAAATTTGTGCAAACACAGATAGAGTCATAAAAACTAGAAATTTGTTGTCAATAATGGTTAAATGAAGAGTGACATTCATGCCTAACGTAACTGTTGCTGTAGCGACCACATCGAAAATTTATTTTATGAATTTTGTGAATTCAATAAAAGGGATAAACTGCAACACATTGCATTGGATAAATGAGGCAGCAAATCACCTATAATATGTATAATCAATGAAGATAATGGTCGCGATTTGAAACGAAATCAATAATTCAATGTGATTACTTTGGTAATTGCTCACAAAGCACTAAAAAAATGAATGTATCATATTGTTCAAATATTGACACACGTCTTTATTCACAGCACGAGCAGAGAAGGCACGTAGCTCTGCTACGCCCTCTTAATTAGTCAAACTAAATAGGGAAATTCACAGATGATCAAACAGTGCATCAGTTGTAGGACAAACTTTCGTTCACTTATATGAGTGTAAACAATAATTATTCCTTTCCCATTTTAATGATGGATGACAAAATTGGAACGAGCTTAGGCGTCTAGTAATTTATTATAACCAAAAACTTTAACAAAATAGTCTCTAGTTTGCGGAATTTTACGCTCGAAATTATTAATGGAAGTTCTGTCATAGTAAAAAGTTCAGGATTGATGAATAGTCCATAATTTCATTTCGAGTCCACCTTTTTTTAGATAAATTATAATTTTGCCATTCTCCGTTTATATGGACTTGTATGCTTTCTTCTCCTACAGTCAAAAAACCCAGATTTTCTCCTTTCAAAATAACAGTTAATTTTGTAAGAGCTACAAACATTTATTTTGATTTCATATCATACAAAAGAATACTAAATTTTTTTGTCGCTATGATTTCTGGCATAAAATTTGTTTCCACGACGATATATACGTTAACAATTTGTAATATTACAGAGGCGCCCAAAATATATTACTAAATAATTTTTATTTGTGTTCTCTGTGTTATGAGTTTATAAACACATCCTTCATAAACAGATTGCTGAATATAATTTAGTAAAAAATGTATCACCTAATTCCGATTTGAAAGAAGGTAATATAGGCAATTGTGGCAGTAATAATGGGCCAAGATTTTGCTGACCTGAAGCAATTACCAAAATTGCCAAGCCGTATGATAATAACCAACATTAGATCTTTTACTCACCGTATTACGTCACGCATGAACATGACCGGACAGATAAACCATGACTTCAATTTCATGAGTTTATGTTAAACAGTTTTAAACAAACATAACATAAAGAATAACACATCATAAAATATTATATGAATGCAAACTTTTTTGCAACTTTTTGGGATTAAATGTATTATTTCTTTTGAATTTTAGCATTTAAGATGATAACAATATATGATTTTTAAATAGAATAATAATTTAATGCTTGAACCATTCTATATATTTTATTTAAATTTTTAGTTGCAAACCAACACACATTTTTCCTTTTGCCGAATGTGAGCCTTAGCGGAATCTGGCTTTCATCTTTCCTGTTCCTCAAATGTCCAAAGCCAACATGTTCTTCGAATGTTTTTGTTTTTTCGATCTAAATTGAGGTCAGTAAAACTCGAAAAGTTTGCATTCGTATCGTTGTAGGACGAAATGTTTGTAGAACGATGCGTCAATAAACGTTGCGAACTAAAATAGTGTCAACAATTTAAGTGCTGGCATTTATTATACTTTTCAGAAGCAAGTGAAAGTAAAAATCAAATTATCAGCGTAATTGAAATCTCACATTAAATAGTCGTAAATAAAAATAACATTAAAATAAATAGTCTACATCCTGATTCCGTTGCTTTCCGATAAAATTCGAGGTAACTTTATATCTTTTCAGGCTAAAAAAAACAACTTAAAACAATGAAACGCAACACAAAGCCGTACCACATGAAAGAACGCAACGCAAACAACAAAATTTAAAACGTGGCAACTCAGAATATAGCAACACAAACAATGGAAATACAATTAATCGATAGGAATTATGTGCGACACAATCTAATGAAACGTCAAGTATATCATTCTTTTAAATCATTGTTATAAATCTTTAAATCATTGCTATAAATTTTATCTAATAAAATATCACAATGTTAGCAATATACAGAAAACATTCTGCTTTTTAAGCCGGAATTTACAGCTAAGTTATATTCTCCTATACATTCTACATGAATAACCGGAAAATTTGTTAATCTGTAAGATAATGCAAACAAGACTTGTATGACATTCATGTGTATGGAAAGCACTAGTTTTTCAATCAGAAATTGAAAATTATAATAAGTTAAATCAATCTAAAATAAGTTAATTCATTTACATTTATAACTTTTAATGTTAGTACGTGCCTTCTTGCTGGTGCTTGTCAGTTTCTGCGCACCCATCCACCACACGACGGTGGGTGGGGGCCGCGACCCCCAAACACTACACGCCACCTCCGCCCCCTGTCCCGCCACCAGCGCCCCGCCACCGCCGCTTAAGCTTCCACCATCTCCACCACTTGCCACTGTCTCCACCCGTACAGCCACTATGCCCACTGCAAGGATGATCAATACATCGTTTATTGATTATTCATTGTCACAAATAACTGTTTAAACCGATATTTGTAAACATAATACAGGCGCTGCATGCAAGTTCATCTTATTTATAAAATTTACACCGTCATCGTCATACTGATAAACTCTTCACTGACACTTCCTTATCGTAGCTGACACTCACTTACCTCAAGTAACAATCACGTGTCTCAGCTATAACTCACGTATCATGGATAAGACCACGGTCTTGGTGGCTGGTTGCGTTTGGTTGTTGTTGCTGGCGTTGCACGTCAGTCGCCTCGCAAGATCTTCCCTCGTCAGCTGCGGCAACGTCAACTCGTTGCTGACAGTCAAGAAAGTTTCAGCCCCTCTTTGCCCCTCATTTCCTGGGCTTTCGGCAACTTCGTAGGACTCGTCTAGGATTTTATCTCCTTCGAACCACACCACAGATGGCGGCGGAAACGCTGTCCCGGCAAGGCAAGAGAAAAGTGTTCTTACATTTCATCCGACATCTGCGTCAATAATATATCTTGCAACGATATATTTTTTACGATATATTAGATAACATATCTTATTTATAATATATACAATCGAGAGCACTGGAATATCTTGGTAGTAGAATATAACACCGCCCCGGAATAAATAATATAACAAGGAAATGCTTTTATAAGAATGGTAGCCTGAAAATTAATTTTACTTTTGTTTTGCATAGCAGGAATTTTTGAGTAAAGGTGAAAAATGGTAGCCACGATGTCTAGGAAATTATGGCGAATGACAGTGTTGTATAAATTAGGTTTACATAATTCATTGTTAAAACAAAGTAGTTTGTTATGCAATAAAAACTAAGCAATACGACAGAGAGAGTTGAGATATTGATAAAATTGACGTGATTCAATCGTATTATGATGATACGAATTCATCACGAACTTGGCAATGTGAATGTGAGTTTTTAGCCAATTAATAATTAAATTGGGATATTTTAAGTAGAAAATAATAGTATGGAATTTATTACGAACTGAGTAATACACTCATCACTAACCGTCATCACTGGCGCAGAGCAGCACTGGCTGGTCCCCCGCTCTGAAGGGACCGATGACGCCTTCTTGTGCGGGCAGCGTCGCCGCGGCTGCGGGGCGTTCGCTGTTAGCGAGACGCCACGTGACGCGGGCGCGCTTAGGGGGAACTGAAATAAAAATTTTTATTCTGAAACAGAAAATAATGCAGAGAATGTGAAAGAAAGAACTAGGCTTTGAATTCATCATTGTTCAAATCGGATTTATAAATTTCATCTATGTGGTCCTTACCTGAACGGCAAAGCCAGAATTAAAATCATGAGCAAATTATAAATTCGTCATTGGGTTGTAACTTGTAAGGACGTGCTGGAATATTGTGAAGTCATCGACTAATGATAAATATTTGTGTGTTTAAATATTTCTGTGTATAACATGACTTTTTCAAGAAAACGCAATTGCAATATTTTTACAGCAAGTATCCGAGCGATAACGAAGTAAACTTTTTATTATTCAGTACAAAAATTGAATTCAGTTACTGTAGTCAGTGCGCATTGACTACAAGCAAGAGCTAACGGATTGCCATTATTTCTGAAAACTGACACTATATAACTTCCATTAGTCTTCCTGTAAATTATTGTACTGAACAGCCTTCTTTTGTCAGCAGCGGGCGACAATTTCTACACCGTTCTTTACACCGTGACTCTATTCTAACCGCAGACACATTTTCTTTTTCAATCCGTGGAACTCCTAATCGATGGCAAGCGGGAAATATTCTTACCAGAGTCCCGTATTCCATGTGTTCAGAGTGAGAGAGTAAAAACTTCTACGCAATTTAATCTAAAGAAATTCCTTTCATTTTTAAGGAAAATTCCTCTGGTTTCAAATCTGCAAATCTGATGTATGCATTCGAAAAAAAGGATATAACGCAAAAATTATTATAGATATATATATTATATTGCGACAATTTTGTATGAGCAGACATGAAAAGTTAGAAAGCTCCGTGAGTTTCAACGTTGAAATTAAAAATGTTGACCTCGTCACGTGAGTTTCAAAGTTTATTCAGCGTGGATCGTAATTCTACCTTAATTGCATCAAGGCCTGTCACTCCGCATATCAGAACATTCCAGCGCCGGCTTAATGTGATATCCACTCAAATTGTCTTTGTTAGCGCATTTTCTCAATAATTTTATGGAAAAAATGCACTATTGTGCTCGCCATGTCCGTCCGTCCGTCTGTCTGTCTGTCTGTCCGTCTGTCCGTGACCCCACGTTTTCGTCGACGAGAAAATGCACTCTCTGTCACTCACTGCAGTGAGTACTGAGTTATATATATATTTTATTTGCCTGATATTAACGAATTTAAAATATTTAATTCGATTTATTCAATAGTTATCATGTATTTCTACTAATCCTTTAAAAAAACATATAGGTCACATTTTCCAAACGTTGCCACAGTTTCTGCTCGTAGCACTGATACGCATTTTTTACTGACAAACTGGGTCAGAATGACCCACACAAGTCGAAAGGTGCATCGATATTATTCTTTCACTTATTATTTTGAATGAAGCTTAAAAAAATTGATATGATGAAAACCAGCATGACAAACCTCATAAATATCGATGGTAACCAGACAAGAGCTTGCAATGAACAAAAATCCCTTAGCGAATAGCTTGTATCACATTCATATATCATATATTCAACAGAAATCCCTTAGCGAATAGCTAGTGTCACATTCATGTATTCTTGTGCCACAATCATATATTCAACAGAAATCCCTTAGCGAATAGCTTGTGTCATATATCACATATTCTTGTGCCACATTCATCTATTCAACAGAAATCCCTTGGCGAATAGCTTGTGTCATATATCACATATTCTTGTGCCACATTCATCTATTCAACAGAAATCCCTTGGCGAATAGCTTGTGTTACATTCATATATGCAGCGTTCGTGTCAGCCATTCACATTTAATTGACTTCACTCGATATTTGATTCTTGCACTGCGGATTGACATCGACTATACTTCGGGAGGAATGTGAGGATTTTAACTGTTGATTACAGTTCAGAAAATTGCAGGGATAATTGGAGTTGAAGTTCAGTTCAAACTTCGTCAATATTTAACTCCAAGTTAACGAGTTTGGTGAGTAATTTTACTCAATCGATGAATCAGCTCAAGATTGAGAGAATTAAATTCCAAAATAACTTTGATTTAATATTCATTAGTTTGTCTCTAGAAGTATGAGTCAGAACAGTAATAATTTTGCTGAATCTGTCAAAGTGAAGACATTATTATAATTTTCACATGTTATACAGTGTATGTCTGAAATTATATGTGTGTATGTGTGATCAGTATGATGTTTTTATATGTGAAGGATCCCCGCATGTCATGATTGACTGCATGTTTTCAATTATTAATGACGGATTAACATCGTGAAACATAGTTTGATGCATAACAATTAATTGTGCGGTGGAATGCCGCCTAAAGATGTCATAAATAATATAATTATATTAATCAAATTTGTAATGCGAATAGGTACATTTAGGAATATAATTACAATTGTACAAGTCAATGAAATATTAAACGACGTCCCCCAGAAACTTAATGTTGAGCTGGCTGTAGAAAATTATTCCATGAAACATATATCCCAATATACATATACTGTGCATCAGGAAGTTGGTAACTTAGATATGACGAGATATTCGTGTCGGGGAAAGCAGGAAGAGTGTCGGGGAGAGCAGGATGGTTGTCGGAGAGAGTAGGATGCGTGTCGGGGAGAGCAGGATGCGTGTCGGGGAGAGCAGGATGAGGGGGCACTCGAACATTAGTTTTTGTTTTGGTTGAGTTAAAAACTGTTCAAAAAGTTAATAACATAACCAAATGAGTAGCTAAAATAATTTGAAAACCGACGGAAAAAATTCAACCATTTCATTAAAATGGATTTAAGGAAATTAAGTAAGATTGATTTACGGAACATGAACATTTTATATATATATTTGGTTGAAACTTAAACATTTCTAGCACACGAAAATTAAATTACTGAATCCAAACTTAACGGCAAAGAATATGGGGAGAATACACGACAATATATGTGAGAAATTCAAGAGAAGCTGCCAAGACGGAATTAACATGGAATTTTTCCAAAACTTGAACACACAATAGAAGGCGATATTAATATACAAATAACTACTGGTAACGCAAAATACCAGGGGGCCGACTAAAGGGATATTAACAAAGTGTCTGCTCAGGGGATATTAGCTGGAATCTTTCCAAAAAATTTTAACTGGGACTCTGCTTTCGAGATATTAGCTAGGGTTAAACCAAGAGATACTATAGGTAATAAGGAGATAAAAGCTCTGGGTTTAACGAGAGAGCATGGGTTCAGCATGGGTTAAAACGCAGGCCATATACTCTTATACTCGCTAAAGTAAACAGAACGGCAAATTTCTCGTCTGTGATTGGTGGGTTTGGTTTCAAAATTCGTCAGTGATTGGGCGATGGAGTTACGAACTCGTAACTATTTTTGATAGTAAGGCCCCAGGGAGATAACATTGGGATATGACTACAGGAGGATGTTAGTCAAAGTCCCCCAGCCATCTCACCCAGGGCTATTTTTGATTGTAAGGCCCCAGGGAGATAACATCGGGATATGACTACAGGAGGATGTTAGTCAAAGTCCCCCAGCCATCTCACCCAGTGCTGCGGGCTGCGCGTCTGTTCTGAAGGTGGTGCGCTGCGCTAGCGTCGAGTTCGTGTCAGGCTTCGTCTGCTTCGGCTTCCCGCCCAGCAGCTCCCGGTAGTCGTAACTGTGATGCAATTACGGCATATGTCACATAAAAATACAATTAATAGTCCGTTTTTTTTCGACGGAAATATGGCATATGAAACTTAAAGGTATAACTAATGCTTAGCTTTTTCTCGATATGTCCTACGCCATAATAAAAATTGTGTTATTTAATCAAATTGTTCATTATATTGTTTCGCTTTTTGCGCAACGTTTTTTTATATGTGCTAATGGCATCATACGTCTGTATAGAGTTCGCTGGTCGTTTCGTTCCTTAGTCGTTTTATCGTTGTGACAAATTCAGTTCAGGTTCTATTTTAATAAATGTATTCTTGGGGTTCACGCGGCTCCCTATTTCACAAAAATTTAATACGCCTATAAATTAAAATTATTGTTTACGTCCCGTATCTATCATTCCATTTATTTAAAAGTGGCGAACAATAGTTATTCGAATTTCAAATCCGCGGCAGTGGCAAATCACTGCATTTGATACTTTGAGTGAAAAATTCTAGAGAGAGATGCAAAATTAGAAAAAGCTTCACTGATACAAATTTTCTGTCTTTTACATAATTTTTATTCTTCTACGTAATTTTCTATCTTCAACATCCTTAATTTTTGACTTCATTCTTTTGTTTGTTACAGTCGTCGTGATTGAAAGTTTATCAGCAAACTTTAGAAACAGCAAACACTCACACGAATGCTGAATTTTTGACAACGGCTTTGTTTTGTACGGGAGAAGAATCCGGCGATTCGAACAAAAAGCTCCCAAGACTTTTAACTTTGCAAGAAACTCACTATGGCGCAAGTTAAAGAGGCTGCTTCCTTTTCATGGCCTTGATGGAAAGAAAGGAAGACGCAACTTCATGAAATCCAGCTCAGCAAAAACTCTACGACAATAAAGAAAAATTTTCATACAAAGCATTAGCTCAACTTCCTTCTGAGCTTTTGTTTATCCCTCTTTTAATAGAGTCAATAGCTGGGTTATTTACAACTTCAGCTCTACAAGATGATCTTCGAAGATACGAATGTTAAAAAGTGAGCTGCATAGTTCTAAGTTGGGAAAAAGTCGCAAGAGATGACGATCTCATCTGCTTCAGATTAAAATCTGGTACGGATTCTCAAAATAATCGTGGATTAAAATAAAGATGCAAATTTAAATCAATATCGCATGCTCTAGTGAGGCATCCAAGAGTGAGCGACAACGATTATAGAAATATGTTTCTACTTCCGCATTCAATTAAAGAGAAAGGGACTTTGTATTTCAATGTTGACTGCTGTGCAGTGCATCAGAAAATCTCTTGAGATTAATTCCCAAGAGTGATTTCCTCACCGAATTTCTTGTAAGGAATTCATATACGTATTTTTGAATCATACCAAAGATGGCATAAATTCAACAAACTCAGAGATCGAAGGAGATGTCTTCGGAACTGCGATGGTATCGGAGCGACATGAGTTGTTTTTCAGGCCCTCAAAGCAAAGTTGCGACGACTGCTGAGTTTGAGGCTTTGATGAATAACTGAAGTCACTAAGCTACTTCAGTTCCGAGTTCGTGTAGATATTTTGTTTTTGTAGCTCCTACAGTTAGTGTTCGTGTGATGCTTGGTTAAATATCCGGAAGTTAAATGTCATATTCCTTCTGTTTGTTTGAATATCAGAAGCCACTAAGGTTCATCAGTTCCGTGTTTGTGCAGATTTGTTTTTTTTGTGTGTGTGCAACACACACATTGCTTGGCTAAATAATCTGAAGTAGCTTGTCTACTTCTGCTTGGTTGAGTATTTTTAAGCCGCTTAGCGAGCTCAGTGTCATGTTTGCGAGGATTTCGTTTTTGTTTCATCAGATGATTGTGTATATCAGTGCAGTACGTTAGCTAACCGAAGACACTGAAGAAATGTATTTTTAGAATATCAGTGTTTATATTGAGCGTGTTTCAGATAATAAACTTAATTTATATTTTCTCCTGAACAGAGATTCTGAAAACATCAGAACGATGAAATTCGTGGACTTGATAACTTTGTAGTATTTCCTATATCACAATAAACTAAAACGAATTTATTGCAGAGTAAGCCATTTTTCAGGTTTGTTAACCAGAAATGGCCACTGAATTGACTGCTTTATAATTTTTTTTAACTAAATACTTTACACGGAATGGAAAATTAATATATCTATTTTGATATATATAACAATATATCAATTTTGTATATATATAAACAACATATCGATTTTGATATATTCCATGGAATGTTTTTACATTCCATGGATTTTTGATATTCCGTGGAATATCAAGCATGCAGTAGCAAGTTAACTCATTCCTGCAACAGGTAATCATAAAAACATCGAGTTCTCTCATGCCACACCGCAGTCTGCCTTCAGTCCCATAACTACACAAATGAACATGCGTGAGTAATATGAGCTTTGGGCTTCTCAAGCCCCGTCTCACAATGCCTCGACAAACATGAAGGTAAGAAGAAAAATTGGTCGTAAACTTGATGGAACGTGGAGAATAAATCAACAGAGTATTGTTCTTTTTTAGAAATTCGCACTTTTTCATAGAATGTCTGTTTGTAGTCTGAGAGAAAGATAATGAGGCGGAATAACTTATCTGAGATACAGCGTGGGATACGTACATAATTTCACACAAATCAAGTATTTTAACGCAATGGCCACACATGATATTTAAAATAGCCTAGCCCAATTTTCCATGTTTCTAAACACGTTTGACTAATGTTCTATGCTCAAAGCTGTTAGTTGACTGCAGAAAATTCAATGATATCTCAGTATCTCCATCATTTGTCATACTGTTTGAGCATTTATTTATATAATCCAGATAGTTGAATAATTATTCAATTATCATATAATATGATGATAATCTTGTATTATACTCAGTCTTGTGTGAGGAGTAAAAAAACGCTTTGTAGGCAGGCCATTGCTGCGACCAACGCTTATTCATGCCATCGATCGCACATCCGCTGCATGTATCAATTCCCTTCCGCCGCTGCGCATGACGACTTCCTATTCATTGCCTATGTCTATATTCATTACCTCTATCTTTTAAAAAGCAGCCTGTAGTTATGATACGCTCACGGGCAACGCCAGGCCTTCTTTATTAAGACATTAACGGCACCTTGGCCTTCTTATCTGACAATTGAACGTCCATCGAAGTCTAGAAAACCCCCATTTAATGGTCTCTATCGTGGTATAAGGCGGCGGGCTTTTAAGACCGTGCGTGCTTGATCGCTTCCTTAACTGCTTCGATTGTCGAGCGAGAGCCTGTCGTAAAACCACTTCGGTTTGCACAAACTGAGTCGATTAATTAGTCATTGCATTCGCTTTAATAATTAGGATGTTATTTCGTCCAAGCGGGATCTGAAAATTTTACGAGATAATCTCCTACTAAAAATATTGAAGTGGCCACGTACTACACTTCGTTCATGAGTAAAAGTTGGAAAGTAAGCGGGAGTTGACTGTAATTTGAGCATAGGTTGACACGATTTGAGGCTGAAGGACATCTGTGCGCAATTTAATTGACTTCATTTGAAGAAATTAGAGCTAGTGAACCAAAATTAACGTTAGCATCGCTACGCTGATTATTATCATAGCATACTGCTTTCTGAGAACCTTATTATCACGATCAAGAATCATTCCGTACAAGTTTTTTTTTCTCGTCGTTTTTTATTAATTTGTTAAATCACAACGCAAATGGCAATAGGCTGGTCTAATGGCCGAATTGTGTAGTTTCGGCGAAGTACCATTAAAATTTCTACCTCAAAATCGTCCCAATATTTACAGCACACAACAAAAGCGTTAAACGAGCTCGCCCTTGCCACCACACGTGAATTAGTTCTTGCTCCATTACATTTGTTGAGCTACAAAAACAAATTATGAACAAAATTTGTTCTCTGGCATCACTTTTTGGCAATGCAATAAGGAACCTCCTCGGCCGTGACGAGAATCTCTAACGCGGTGGAAATGGCGTCGTTTTCGTTATGCCGACGACGCAACCAAAATTCGAGTTTTATCAAGCGGTTAATAATTTTTTGTCGCCTAACTTGCTTCATCATCGATTCATGATTGCTTCACGTTACACACCCTGGAAATTTTACCCTTTTCAGCGATATAGTTCATATTTTATATTGGTATCGCAGTGTACCTAATCTAAGAAACAAGTGTATGAGAATTTTCTCAATACGACAGTATTTCTAATGCTATTATGACCGGATAAAAACTGCAATTTTCGGCGGTGAGTCTGAGCTCGGGAGTTGATGCCCACTTTTTACGTGCCGCGTCTTTATGTTTATAGTTTGTTTTTAATTATCAAGCTTTGTGAAATGGACGTATCAACGATAATGTACGAAACGCATTTAAGATGACAACGTTATGATACTATTAAATGTGCAAATTAAAAATGCCATCAGCACTTCCACGTCTTTGGAAACTTTATTGGAAGTATTCTTTATTTGAAACTTCGTTGAATAAATTACCACGCACAGCGATTCTGAACCCTTTGCACGAAACCACTAAAATCAATATTGAAAAGCCGGACAGGAATTTATTGTACCATAAAATGCTGTTTCTGATTGACATTCTAATTGATTGGACGTCAATAGCCAATTGAATAAAATCCTGAGTGCCTGAATGGCCGCTGACATGGCAAAAAATTGAGATTACAGAGTCGAACTATTCCATGAATTGAAATGAATCTCTGAATTTAAAGCCGAGTTCTTCTGATATTTGTTCTAGGTGTACCCAGAATATCCTAATGCCCCCTACATTTTAATATCAATACCAATAAACTAAAGCATCCTACATCTCACGATGTCTACCCTTAAAAACATGCGCTTCCCTTAAGCAACGTCAACATTGACAGCGTCAAACTGCGTGTGACAGGGACATAATCTCATTTTAAATAACACCCATAAAATGACGGTGTCAATACCAATACGCGTAGTAGCGCGGAAAAACGGGGGCTCGCGCCCCATTGCGTTTTTTTCATTTTGGGCAACTAGCAACACAATAAACAATATGTAACTGCAATAATGACGTGTACATATAAAATATATATTAATTCCAATCCTACATTCGTTACTATAATATGCAGAATACGACGAAATTTGTAATTAAAGCGTTCGTAATTACGGTTGTCAATTAAATATAAAAAAAAAACACCCGGAGAAATTAACTTCATTTAGGAGAAATTTCTATTGGCCAACACTGAATTATTATTGAATTAACAGTTTAAGCAAACACTGCATTCAGTTATTCCTTCATTCAGGAATTATTGAAATATTGTCAGTAATTCCGTTCATGGAGGAATCAGTTCAAGTTGACAAACGGGCTTTTTATACAGTATCATGGATACACTGAATATCCGAAGAACATTACTGTACGAAAACACTTCTTTTTTTATAAATATTGTGTTTACTTACTATCATAATAACAATCATGTCTATAGTAGCTGAACTCTCAAAACGGTTTTGTGATCGACGCCACAAGGGACAGTAAATGACCTAAAACGTTCGTTGACTTGTATTCGTTATCGCGGCAATTTGACCGCAATTATCGCTGTGAAGACACGCGACGGTGATTAATGAGCTTATGGCTTAGAAAAAGCACAAATACACAACTGCTTACGCTAAGTTTTTTCTGGTTCACAAAGCGTGTCATTTGGAATGTTTCTTTCATCCTGAAAATGCGTCGTGACGATTAAAATACTGGCGAAATTGATAAACTAAAATGCACTCGTGCCCTATTCCCATATATTACTTTACACAGCTATATTGAATAAAACGACAAATACATGAAATTGTATACATGAAACATTACTCCCAGTGCCGTCCTAAGTCGCTTAACGCTGTAAAAAATGCCTCTTACAAGTTCTTTTTGGACTTGTTTCGTCAGAATTTGTGAGGCAAGGAACCAAAATACCAAGTTTTTGCTCGTTCCTAACGACTTTACGCAGATACATGACTGAAAATTATTACCTACACAAGTAATTGCATTCTAGGAAATAAATAATTACCTCTAGAAGTTATGGCCAATTTGATAGAAACATTGAACTACCCTTGAAGTTTATAATCTGTTTAAGTAATAATATCAGTAATGATCATTTGACCATCTTATAATAATATTAGCAATTAAATTTAAAAGAAGTTTTCAGTTTTGTAAATAATATATTTCACTGGAAATTATAATAAACAGAGAAATACAACTCAGTACACACTGCAGTGAGTGACAGAGAGTGCATTTTCTCGTCGACGAAAACGTGAAGTCACGGACGGACAGACGGACATGGCGAGCACAATAATGCATTTTTCCATAACTGAGAAAATGCGCTAAAAAGAGTGTTCTTCATCTTAACTACAAAATTAAGCCTCAAGACAAACTTCCCTTTTATGCTAAATTGTGAAACTATCTGCAGAACCACAGGCATGTCCTAAAAAGACTTATATATTGAGAAAATTTCACAACATTTCTGTACCGAAATTTTTTTGTGCATCGCGTGCATTTCTTAGTACTACGCACAAAATCATTTTCATTAGTCATTTTATTGATACATGCAGAGCCGACCTCGCGTGCCTGAAAAGCGATTTGAGCAATGTACGTATTACCTATTTAGTGTAGTATGCATTCCATTTTTGATACACGGAACCATCTAGTCGGTATATTACCTTTAGAGCGGAGTGTGGATGCCTTCCTTGCTCCACAAACGATTTGGACGTATTTACTACTTTTAGAGCAGAGTGTGGATGCCTTCCTTGATCCACAAACGATTTGGACGTATTTATTATTTTAAGCAGAGTGTGGATGCCTTCCTTGATCCACAAACGATTTGGACGTATTTATTACTTATAGAGCAGAGTGTGGATGCCTTTCTTCATCACCAACGTGATCTGGACGAATTATTACCTTTAAAGCGAAGTGTGGATGCCTTCCTTGGTCCACAACATGATCTGGATGTAGTATTACCTGTAGAGCGGAGTGTGGATGCCTTCCTTGATCCACAACACGATCTGGACGCAGTATTACCTATAGAGCGGAGTGTGGATGCCTTCCTTGATCCACAAAACGATCTGGACGGAATCTTCTGGCTCTCGCGTGTCCAGGCTACAGGGCAGCGTTGCAGTGTCGCCGGCCACCACCGACACGGACACCATTTCGACTGCACACAAAGAAGATTATCTTAAGAGAACGGAGATAATTTTCTGCTGATTCTCTTTAATTTTTAGTCCAAATCTAGAAAATTTTGAAAAAATTAGTCAATATTATTAGTATTCACTAAATGTTAATTGTTAATTACTTCTTTTGTTTTAATTGTGCTAAGTACTTCCTTTTCTTTTATGAACTAAGTTTAATAATTACTTGCGTTCCGCACGTCAGGAAACTCCTCGGATTGAATGGAACATTCGAAAGGAACACATGGATCTGAATGAATTGAATTTTCCCGTAAAATCTAATACTCAACTTTCATTCATCAACATTGAATATTGCACAATTAATGTAAAGCTGCTGAAAATAGCTTTCTTGTTATCAAAAAAGTCGGTCAACGGTCAGCAAACTGATATTCTATTGGGTATCGGACGAAATTTTTTTCTAAAATTAATAGGATAAAACGATTATCTTTGCTTAAGCAATATTTTCTCGCATATGTCTCCCAAGCAACAAACAAACCATAACAAACCAATCTAAACTGTACGCCTTTTTCGAAATCGTGGCGCGTGCAGCAATCTAATCAAGTGCGCGGCTACAAAGAAACTAACGGAGAGAAAATTTATTCACGACCACTCCAATGAATTTGCAATCGGCATGAGACTCCGGCCCCAAAAATATACCTGCACCGATCCCAGTTTTTAGCATCTTCCCCGGCGCCAGTTTTTCCATGTATTATTTAGGCGACTTTTTGGGATGCGACTCAACCTTATTGAAAATTACACGATACATATCGTATGAATTTCAATGGGGAATATTTGAAGCCACTTGGTAATATATAGGAACATTAGAATTGAGGTCAGGTCAGTGTTAGAGGAAGGAAGTTTCGTGGAACGCTGAGCTCCTCGAAATGGGAATCTTAATCCATGTGAACCGAGGATCAAATTCAGAAGCTTCGCTGGCAAGTAAAGCTGCTTTAATTTATCCGTATGGTGTTTTACCAATTTGAAAGAGATTCCATTTAACGACTCTCCGAGGGAAGACGGAAACAATAGTGTAAATTTTAGGAGAAACTTTATTGCGTCACACATTTAAAATATTTATACATCTATTTATTTATTAACTTTGCGGTGAGTAAATATTTAAAATGTCCATTTAAAATCTTTTGAATTATAAACTTTACTTTAACATGATAAAGAGTTCGAACAAATTAAAGAGTTTGAACAAATTCATAAGTAGCATTTATTTGACCTGAATTTAAATTAATGAGTTCCGAAATCCTTCAAAAGCCCTGAGAATGTAAAAATTTTGATCGACAAAGGCAAAGATCTACTTCAAACTTAATTCAAACTTCTGTGTAATAGAATTTCTTCAGAAAATTTTAACCCACCAGACGTCTGACCTTGAATAAAAGTGGAATTAACCTACGCATACCGATGAATCGATGTTGAATTAGCCACTCTTTCTTTGAATCTGCGGTAATTCAACGTCGCTTCAGCGTCATTAGAATGATAGCCGAGGAAGATCGCTCTTTGAAGACTGAGATTCGATATTTGGATTGCGACTGTACTTCTGTGCGTGAAGAACCGCAATATGGAAGTTCGCACTTGACACGCTCTTCAGGCATGCTCTTTATTAGATTATATTTTTTGATTATATTTTCAGCGTTCACTCAAAGCGCAAAACAATTCACGGTCTATTCAGCATACCAACAAACTTATTCATTGAATATTATTTTGTTTAACTATAAATAAGTTTGCAAACCCAGATACCTCTCATTTGTATAAGTGAAATAAAAAGCAATGGAGAAATGAGGATGAAGAAATATTTCTAAGAGCTTTAAATTAAGATTGGAATCATAATGTATGCAATTATGGATCAAACAGTAAAATAGTGGATAAAATGTTGAAAATGTGAATTAACGCCATATCTCTGTATGCGCTTTTTTTAACTGAACAGTTATTACTGATGTAGTTGCTAGCGTGAGTCTATACAGAACATCATTGTATTTCAGGAAAGTTCCTTGAATTGACTGAGCTTTGCAGTTGTGAAAAGCAAATTGAATTTGGTGCAACCAAATTGAATTGCTTCGATTCTTTAGAAGTCGTTTCTTTTCCTTACAAATAATATTGTACGTATTGCATCAACTTCTAATTTTTTCAAACCTTAATTTGATCATGAAATTTTACGTTCTCAAAACTTTTAGTGATAATCATGTTTTGGCACAGATGTTTTCTGGAGTATTCCAAAATACACTACATATTTGAAAGCCCTGTCACTTGAATAAATTATTGATGCACATAAGTAACATCGATAAATTTAATTTCGTAATAGACGATTACTTTGCATATAATGATTCTCAGATACTATGATTAATCACGTCCCGTGATCAGTGACCGCGACACTCAATGTGTTGATGAAAAAAATATAACTCAGTACTCACTGCAGTGAGTGACAGAGAGCGCATTTTCTCGTCGACGAAAACTTGAGGTCACGGACAGACGGACAGACGGACAGACAGACAGACGGACATGGCGAGCACAATAGTGCATTTTTTCCATAAATGAGAAAATGCGCTAAAAATTATCTACGATACCGAAAGCACGTTCACTCACCGGGTATTTTAATGCGGTGTTCCGAGCTCTAACGAGGGCCCATCTCACCTCTAATCGCTTCACTTAGTAAGCCGTGGCAATGATTTGCTTGAGGTCATTTTGCTCGCCTCCCCTCGCCACATACCCACGGACTAAGGGAACTTGATTAAAGTCATAAAGATGTTATATTCTACCAAGTTTCGGTCAAACAAAAATTCAGGCTCAGGTGAAGACAACCAGATGGATAAAATTTGCATTCTTCGAAATTATTTAATCATTCAAATTTTGCAAAGCAATAAATATAAATTAGGGAAAAGTTTAGATAGTTTTTTTTCTACTTCTGTGCAAATTATGGTTATCCTGCCCGTAAATCAAGCCTAATGGGGATTTATCCAGACGAGTGCGTTTGAATAATTAGTCTTCGACAGGTAAATTTTGAATCATGTAGAATGGTGGAAATCCCATGTCGACGGGGTGTGGCAAATAGTATTTATTAAACACTGTTGGGAAATTCCTTTTTGGAGAATTCTTATTTGAAGTAGATGCGGATTTTTCTGTACTTTTGCAACTCTTTTCGCAGAAATAAATCATCTATACAAACGAAAACTTGAAGCTAAATGTGAGTGGACAGAATTTAGTAAACTAAATCGAAAATCATTGGAATCAACATGACGAACAGATCTTAATTTGGCTCCATAGTTTATTGAATATTCTGCGTCCGCTGAGCATTGAGAGTTCATTTACTTGTAACAGATGTTGAAACCATAAATACAAATACAAAGCTTGGTTAGGATTTGCAATAATTTTAGTTTAGCGTGTGAAACGCTGTAGGTAATAAATCAGAATGGCAGGAGCGCAAACAGGGCCGGCCATTCGGCAGCAAAGTTAAAAATTATGCAATAAATTCCTGATTCTCACAGTGTTGACCAATGGAACGGTTAAATTCAATTATCTCTCTCGTTAAATTCCCTGTCAGGGGGTGTGCACGCGCTCGGTTGGACAAACCTATTAAGCCCACATTTGATAAAAAGACAAAGCAATTCAGCGAATCGAAATTGTTCAATTCCTGAACGATGATTCAATGTCATGTAATTGATGGCTCGTGATAGCGCAGCTTGTCACAATATCTGTGACTTGACTTTATTTCCTATAAAATTTAAATTATTCTGTCAGAGGTTATTGCACTGACAAAAAATACAGAATCAAATGTTGAGGTCAAATTGATTGTTTTATAGTTGAATAGATGAATAATCTTTTTTGTGGCATCCGTTTCTGTTCAAATTAAAAAAATTGTAATCAATCCTGATTGTTGGCATTAATTTTGAGATTTCGCAATGAGTTTCGTCTGAATTTTGGTCTACGAAGACGAATGATCTGATGTTATATTGACTACTCAACTCCAGAGATTTACGGTCTTTGAGATTTCATATTCCCTTTAGCATGATGCTCCCTATCCTGAATCAAATTTATATTGCAATATTTGAAATAAAGTTATTATTACGGAAAAGTTACATTTAAATTTAAATATTTGTCTTCAACCCTCCATCAAAACTTTGAAGGACATATAAACTTTTATCTTTTAGAAGACGTTTGATCTATTATGGCAAAGAAAACCTTTATATTTTTTCCAATGATTCTCACATATCAGTTATGATTTTAGGTCCCGATAATATCCCAAAACGATTGGGAACGTGTACCGTACACAAATGTTCTCAGTTACGGTATAAACAAGATTTCGATTGAATTTCTTCGTGGGGTCATGATTTATGCACTATTTTCAAGCTTCCATCTATCGACTATTTATATCCATCAACTATATATCCATCCATCCATTCACCATTAACAAGCTTCCGTCCATTCACCATATATTAGCTTCCTTCCATCCACCATTTACCATCTTCCGTTCATTCAAAATTCAATAGCTTCTTTCCATCCACCATTTATAAGCTTCCGTCTATTCACCAATTTATAAGTTTTTGTCCATCCATCATTAAAAATTACTCATCGTTGCTTCTAAACTTTTTTTGTTAAGCAGCTACGAAATATGAATGATCAAATTCAAACTTCCTGGCTTCGGAAAGTTATTTTTCCTAAATCAGTCTGTAAAATTTAGAACAAATGGTAGTGAAAAAGAGGCATGGCAGGGAGAATAACATGAATGAATAATTTTACCCAACGAAGACTTTCCATATTTTCTGAAGAGATCCTTACAATAGCCCGTAGCACATTCACCTATTGAAGCATCGCTTTTTCGAATTGTTAAGCCCTTCTTTTTCTTCAATGCTTACTACGAATGTTTTTATTACCAATTCTGCTAAAAATAATGCAGAATTTTCTTTAGATGCTGACTCAAGCAGCTTAACATCGAACATTTTAAGCTTTGCCTTCGATTTTAGACTTCAGCGCTCAAACAACGACTTGCAATTTTGCGATCCATCTTTCGCAAACTTTGTTTCTTGAGAACGGAGCTGGTTAGTCATGCGCTTATTATATTATATTAAATTTATTATATTATATTATATTTTACGGTAGCATTGAAATGTTCTCTGCGCATCATGTTCGAAGGAATTTTATCAAGGGAATTACAATTCATTTATTGTGAAGAAAAACATTCAATTACAAAAAAAATGTACGTAAGCATATACAAATCATACTTAAATTTGTAACTTAAATTTGTAACACATGCTGTTGATACTTAGAATCTCAAACAAGGCGTTATACATAACGTAAATCAGTGCGAAATTCCATTATTGCGAAATCAGTACAAATTTTTTTCGTGGATCGTGAAGAGATAATGGATAAAATACATTGGAAACGATGTTTAGTTAAGACTAATTTTTATATTTAGGTAGGCCTAGAGTATGGCGCTTCTAAAGCTTGGTAAAACTTTGATGCTACTAGAATTTGACTTCGAATGTTCAGACAAGAAAGGAAACAATTTTCTATCCCATTTTAATCATCGTGGGAATACAACTTTCAAATTTCTCAGTACATTCACTCGAAATTCTTTTTTTTTTTAAGTATTCAGTTAATCGGAAGTTAAATTAGCGATTTTTTATGGCTGATATTGTATTATTCCCGACATTGGCTGAAATTATATCTAAAACACAAACAGTTTTCAGCTCAATTTTAAAAGAATATAACATTATACAGAGGAAACATATGTGTAAACTACAGATATGACCTCATTAATAACAATTTTTTGCGTAGGGTCAAACGATAAATTTATTCTCATAATTAGCAGCATTGTAGTTTTTGATTAAATTAGGTCTACAAAAATAATCAAAGTTTCATGAATGGTTTCAAAATTTGTCAGTAGTTTATTTTCATTATCTGGCAATTTAATAATGAAATAATTTTTCATCTTTCCATCTCATGGCTTTAGTTTAAAGTTATCTGAGCTACTTCGAAACAAGTCAAGTTTTCTAATGAAGTTACAACTACTCCTTTGATTTGTTCACTTGATCAAGCAGTTCCCAGAATTCTGTTCAGAAAAAAGACGGTTAAGAAAATTTTCGAAAATATTTTGCAATATGCTGAAAATCATGAAAATTATTCGTATGAATGGATAATTTTACGAAACTGCTCCAGTTCTAATATAATTTATTTAAACTTTGACACACCCGTACATTTGTGTTGAGCTTACATCATAGGAACATGAGCTTCAATACAAGTCATAATTAATGCGTCACGCGCGAAAAACCTGTACATGTCTGACAAATGACAAAATAACCTCGCTGATGACAACTCAAGAACTAGAAGTGAAACACTTCTGTATTTATTATAATCTAGGTAGCAGTAAAAATTCATTTGAATACGCTTTATTGTAAATCTTTTAACTTTTTTGTGTTTCGCGTGATCATGAAATCGGTAAGCTTTCCCGACCTTTAAGTTATTATAAGTAATTAGCTTCATGGCAAACTTTTTCATGAAGATTTTCGTTCGTAAGCCACAAACAAAAAGACCCATAAAATTACAGTTTGTTTATTTTTCTTTGTACTGCTTTCATTTTTTATTTTGTCTTTTCCAATTATTGATGTATTATTATAACTGGCATCAGTAGCTCGTATATATGAAATCATTAGTTTATTGGACCGTTTAATTTGTTAAATGCAAAAGTGACACCCTGCGGCATCTCTTCAAAACAAATGCATCTTATTCTAAAGAAAAATAATATTATAGTCCGAATAATATTGGTAGAAAATCTAATATTAAACACAAGTACAAGTCCATTAATGTTGAAAAAATTTAAGAAAAGAAGTAGGGTAACGTGGGGCAGCGCGCCCCCCACTTTTTTCAAACTAAATTTTTGATGAAGTTTTAATTGATACGAGATGGTTTTTTGTTTTGTTTAAAGGTGCAACTAATGAGGAATGTATTATGTGAATTAGACGCCTATAGAGTTATTCAATTTTTAATGAAACAGCGGTAGAGAACACGGACCAATATCTGCCATACTTAGCGAGAAACCCGCTATGGGCCCATGACCCGCAGTGGGCTCGCTGCCCCATGTTACCCTATATACCAAGTAAATTTTCTTTAAAAATTAATTAAAAATAAAAGTAAGAAGGTATTTTCGAACATTTAGCAAAATTTATTGATGACTCTTAGGGTTTTCTCATGCAACAAGGTTGACGCATGCGTAATATGATTTGAAAACTTACTCTTTCTTTTCAGTCGCGCTTTCTTCCGAGAGTCAACAACGTGACTCCAAAGCCTGGTCGTGGACACTGGTTTTCCTTCATTATCGTGATCGTCATTCTTCACATCCTTCGTTCCCTGGGATTTTGCATCATCTTTTCCCAACGTAGATCTGAATTGATCATCATCTGTCGTAAACGAAGTTGCTTCGTCGGCCAACATAATTGGCAGAAATCTACTGCCCTTCGACCGCGTGTGAGTCAGATTTTTCAAGACGCTAAACGTGTTATCCGTAGCTGGAGGGTTTTCATTAAATCCACCGTAGGAATCCGGTCTTGGATACTTGACCCGCGGTTGTTTATTGCTGAGGCTTGATCTTCTGCGGCCGTATTTTCTCTCGGAACTTTTGCCAAGAATCGTTTCAATGCTGGGAGAAGTACGCTCCTTTTTATTTTCATCGAGAGATCCTTCGAGCCAACCAACGTAGCTGTCTTTTACGAAGTAATTCGAGCGTCTTGACTCCTGTTGTTGAGAGCGCGAGTATTTTACAGGTCGGGAGAGCCTCCATTTATGTGAGTCTGACCTTAAGAGCCTTGAGCTTCTGTCTGTCAAGCCATTGGACCTCCCGTGGCCTGCTCCGCCACCACGAAAAGGCAAAAGAACTTTCACGTCTCGCGAAGACAAGTAATACCCTGGGAAGTGGTGCGGCTCAAACCTGTTTGTGTGGCGCAAAGAATTCCCAGAAGATTCTGTTGGAGTGGCCGCAATCCAATTAGAGGTGTAGCCTGATCGCTCAAACTTTATTGTAGATTTCAGTTCTTCTAGTTTCTCTTTGTAATGGCGTACGTTCGACTCGTTGCTGATATCAACGCTGGTGGAAGGCAAATACGGAGAAGTAACTTCCGTATCTCTCTCCACCGAGTGTGAGTCCGATGAGAATCTCTCGGATTGCAAATCACTCGAGTGGTCTTGCCAGAGGTTCCTGGCTCCTTCAGAAGCATTTGTATATTTTCTTGTAGTCTTTTCAAAAGAGGGATCAAACCAAACACCTCGCGTTTTCCTCAGAATAGTTCTGTTATTATGCATCCAGAAACGATCTCGTCTACGCACCCGGTAACCACCGAAGTGCTGTCGATTCATCTCTTCTCTGAAAGTCCGTGTATGGAAGTCGTTCAGTGGTGTATCGCTGTGGTTTTGTTTGTAGTCACTCACCAAATTCTCAGTCGAGTACTTCAAGCTTATTTCGCTCTTATTATGATTGCTGTCACGAAAATCTGAATCTGAATGTTTAATACTCGACTGAAGCTGCGAGCCAAATTCAATGTTCAGGATTTCCCTTGAATAACTTTCAGGTTTTGAGATATTGTTTGACTTCATATTTTCGAATGGCAATATTACATTGGACGCAGTGGCTTTAGCAAAAGCAACAAATATGGCAAAGATTAAATAAAACATCTGACTTTTGGTCAACGCATCATGATATTTTGACTCCTTCATGGTGCGGCAAAGTTGAAACATCGAAGAAGATCTTCGAGCACAGAGCGGCTCGACACGGGAGGCAGGATTAGTCGACGAGGAAATGCGAGCATTATCAGGACTTTTTGACACCGGAGGCAAAAGTTCAGGAATTACGTAGTCGACTTCATCCAGCGAGTCGCGGGAAACATGCAAATGGAATATGTGCTCATGTATCACCGGACTTGCCGCGCGACTGGTACACTTGACTTTATTTCCTTTACGTACCATCGACGAAGCACAAGTACCATGGATGAGCATTGCAAGGACATTATTATTACACTTTATCACAAGCAGATAAAGATGCCATGTTTTCTCTGGAAGTCTGAGAAGAACTGGATTATATTAGTTCTGTGAAAGGATAATCAAAATTGTAAATTTATTAGATAATTAAATTATATGATTTTTTGTAAATATGTTTAGCGACCCGAGGTAATCAGGAATAAATGGACAGAACCGTTCAAGACACTTGCTCAAATAATTATTGCGCATCAAACCATTTAAATGATAAATTGCTGAGGGTTATTAAATCGTCAAGCATGCAAGTTACGTCACTTAAAACATGGTACCGAGTTTAGTTTTCGTTTAGAGCAGAACCAAGTTTGAGTTCAGGTGAGTGGTTGCCTGAATTTTTTTATCAGTTGGTTAAAAATAACTGAATTAAAAAATATTTACCATGCGATAAGGAAAGTTTGCACTTATTGACAGTTACTTATTGACCGGGAAAATTCTTGTAGAACTGAAGTGTTCGTCACTTTTGTGTATAAATTCGTGAATACCGCGAAAATTTTCAAGTGTTAAAGAATGTGACCCAGCAAATTCAGGCAGATAATATATGTATAAAATTTTTAAGTTCTGTTCACGTCCCCGAGCAGCTCTTGGTTCCATTTCCAAATTATCGTAGATCGGAACTGTTAACTGTTGATATAGCCTAATGATCGTACTATCTTCTACATTTTTATGCTGTAACTAATTATATCAGAGTTAATGTTACCACTTTCTTCTGTCCAATTCTAATCTAATAATTAGTCTTTGAAAAAATATGCTTGATTTTTCTCTAACTCACTGACTGTGGAGACAGAGGCGTGTTACAGCCGGCATAGTTTTATTTACTGCCATTAATGCACATTATGAAAGCTCTGTGCCCGGTTTTAACGGCTCTCACCTTGTCTCCCTGGCATACGCATAGCGTTCATGAACCTATTACACCAACCACGTACCAACCACCGGCATATTTTACTATCCACTTAAAGTCTACGTGTTGAGTATTCCAACATCCTCACCTACCTATGTCACCATCCACCTAACGTTCAACTACCTATTTCGCCATCCACGTAACGTTCAACTACCTATTTCGCCATCCACGTAACGTTCAACTACCTAAATTCCAACATCCTCACCTATTTATTTCACTACTCGCGCAACGTTCACCAACCAAGACCTATTACATACGCAAGAATCTCATGAGATGCGTCCGATTGTCACATTTACATTTCTAGATCCAATTTATTTGCTACCCTATAACGTTTTGTTTTCTGTCTTTCATAGAACAACAATTATATTATTGTTGGAAAAACTTCTCAAGATGTAACCCCTCTAAAGAATTAAATATATATTTTTCCGGATCAATCCTCAAGTTACCTTAGTGATTCTTCATAACGAGTCTCAGTAGGAGTAGTTAGTTCTCACCCACATTCTGTATGCTAAGAAGCTTGCCATGCTAGTCTCTTGGCTGCGTAACGACTTTAGTGTGAAGTTCGTACATTAGTTGCGCTCACGGTATAATGATAATCAGAGGAGATTGATCGCGTAAGTCGTCTGTCCTGCTATTGCCTAATCAGAATATCTTTTACGCGATTTTAATATATACATTTGCTTTTCTCATTAGTGTTTAATAAGGTCTTTTGTTAAAGCGAAAATTTCCATATTCGCTATAACTTCTTACCCATATGTAATATTATCAATTAATTTCGATTTCAAATTTTTCTTGCTTTGAGGAGTCCATACATAACCAGAACGTATATTTTGACTTTGACACAGTTTTCTAAGAAAATCAGTTCATATTAAGAAATGACTGATAAGACGTTTCTACTTGACGCAAACTTGAATAATGGAAAAATTATCGTTAGCATCAAATGATGTTTCAAAATAAATCAAATCGCTCAAAATGAACGTCTTTGAATTTGTCTTCATGATGCTTATCCAAACAAATATTGATTCAAAACGTCCTAGAACGTTTTGTCTGCCAATATAATACTAATTTTTTTTATTATACAGACGCATATATCCAAAATACATGCTTTTGCGTGATTTGGTTCTCTAAATCATTCATTTTTATCATTTAATTAAACACATGTAAGAAAATGCTTTCTTCGGAATAATTTTCCATCAACAAAGCATGGCATAGGTGGTATAGATTGAAGTAAAGGCGAGGCTAAAATCTTGAGGCTGTCAAGCCATCACCGCCGGTATTGACAATGCCATCGAACACGATTTGCCTTCCGCCTTCAATGCGACAAAGCCTAAAGTGATGCGATGCTGGCAAGTCCTCCACGAGATCGAAAATAGTCTGCAGTTGACAGCATGGATTTCAGTTGAAAATCGAAAATAGTCTGCAGTTTACAGCAGGAATTTGAGTTGCAAAATCGAAAATAGTCTGCTTTTGACGGCATGGATTTTGGCTGCGAAGTCGAAAATATTCTGCGCCGTGTATTTACATTGCGTGAATTTACATTACAATATTGAAAAAGTGAGCACCTGATGTTATTGGCTTGCACGGTTTTTGTTGCGAGATCGAAAATAGTCTGCATTTTACGGCTTGAATTTGAGTTGCATAATCGAAAATAGTCTGCAGTTGATATTGATAGCTGCAGATTTGACTTGCGAGACTGAAACTATCCTGCGCTTGATTTCTCTGATTTGCGTTGCAAGATTGAAAAAAGTCTACATTTGACGGGATGCATTTGAGTTGCGGGATCGAAATGGTCTGCAGTTGACAACTTGGATTTTGATTCGCGAAATGGCATGGATTTCAGTTGCGAGGCAGTAATTCAAAATAATCAATAAAGACTATTGTTTTTGTGGTTTGAGAATTGCTCTAAAGTGCTTTGGTTGCAAAAACATGTTGAGTACATTCATGATAGAGGTAGTAAAAGGTTTTTATAAGATAAATGCATTGTCAGTTTGATTGTTTTCAACGGATTTTCTTACACATTTGGGAGCAAAACTATTTTATAGCAACGTACTCGTGACTTTTAAGAGCATCATTACTGACTTTTGTTTTCTGAATCGGCGACGAAACCTGCATTGTTCCTTAAAAATATTACTTCGAAAGCAAAAAATTAATATGCTTGAATACTCTGTTAAATGAGAATGAATGGCTTTGAAAAAGAACATGAAAATTTTCATTACCTCAAGCATTAATGTAAGTTGGTTACAATTCCATCCAAATGATTGTATGTCGCAAGCCAGATATTCAATTTTATTTAAGAAAATGCCGGAATTTTTCGCATCATGAAAAAATTTCACTATTTTTAGCATCCAATTTTAACTTGAAATAAATTAAATAAATGGAAATACTATTTATTTGGGAATAAATACTTATTTATAAATAAATACTAATACTTCGCATATACTCCTTTCATTGAGAACAATGAAGTAGTGATGAAGAAATACACATGAGAAAACACGTTAGTGTAACTGTAGTTCAGGTTTCTTTGTTTACTGCATGGTCTTGTTCAGAGGAAGCTTGTAATGAATAAAAACCTTAAGTTGTGCACGTCATGCGCAGAAACACGAACCCATGGAGGATTAGTGAGAAACATCATGGTATTTTTTACTACCACATAAATATAAATAAATAATACTACCACATAAATACTACTATACTTCTAAATTGTGAACCCCGCGGGCCAGATTACTTCTACACTGCAAACGTTTCGGGCCAGAATATTTCAACTCTGATCGTCATCGACCATTATACTTATATGCTCTGGAAACTAACTTACAGGACAAGAATTCTGTGAATGTCGTACACTAGAATACTTCTGATAATCTATTATGCGAATAACCAGGACCAGAATACCTACACTGTGTCTATTTTTAGAATACCTTGGCCTATAATATCTATACTCCGTCTATTCTGTATTTGTCCTGGTTTTTAATACATCGACTTTGTCTACTCTGTGAATGTTCTTGTTCCAAAATACTTTTCCTTTGTCTGCTCTGAGATAAAATTCTCTATACTTTGTTCAAGTCCGCACCAGAATAGGCAGCATCGAAATTAATCAGATAGCCAAGGTTTTCTTGTATCTAGTCAGAAGATTCAAGTAGCCTGTCCCAGGATTTCGGCAGACATGAATCAGTACATGAAGTTTAAAGATAGAATGTCTTTGAAACAAATGCGAGATATTTCTATACATTTACATTTTCAGGAAATAACTTAATGTTCTTACAAAATTTCATAATTCGATAATGCCCATTGCACTGCTATGTATGTTGCAACAACACTTTGCCACGTGTGTTTAACAAACAAATATACGCTTCCTGTTGAAACTGGCCACTTTAATAGAGTCAAAAGAATGCGATTCCTATTTGCAACGATCACATCTATTAGTGCTCAGCCATGGTAATACATGCCGGTAATTACCATTGCAATTTATCATTCAAATTATTGTGTAAAATACTGCACATTCCCTAAAATTGAACACCGAATGTTTTGTGTCATATATATGATTTTCTTCCTTTCTAAGCAGTATAGTATTTTGAAATTGCGCTCGGTAACTTTATTAAAACATGCAAATTTAATGCGAGAGTTATTCGGATGTTAACATTTCACAATCTAAGCGATGTTGTTACTAAGTTAGATGGCAATACGAGCTCCACTTATTGTAAATATCATAGGATACCGAAATAAATTGATTTTTCTTTCCTCCTGGTTTCTTTATTTAATTCTTTAAACGATAAAAAAATTTCTTCAACATTTTGTTATCAAGCTATGTCTTTTGAAAGTGTTTTCTTTGCATCCTTAGTTATATTTTCTGATTAATTCACGTAATTCCATCACACAACCTTTCAGCATCAAGTTTGCTCGCAAAAAAAAGCAAATCCCGAGCTCGTCACTTCACAAAAAATAATTTTTCTTATACTCTGAATTAGAGGAATTTCAAACCAATGCAGCTGGCCGAGGTGCTCGCGTGAGCACACCTCTCACTACCACTGCACCGCCAACA